TGTATTTATACTTATGATATTCATAAATACATTATTGCAAATTATTATTTATTATATCTCTAAATTATTGCAAATATTATTCTTTATTTTATTATAATTTTATTTATTATATTTATAAATACAATTATTGCAAATTTTATAACTATTAATTATTTTCATGCAATTATTATATTATACTATATTTATATTTACTTATTGTATTTATACTTATGATATTTATAAATACATTATTGCAAATTATTATTACTATTAATTATTTTATGCAATTATTATTCTTTATTTTATTATAATTTTATTTATTATATTTATAAATACAATTATTGCAAATTTTATAACTATTAATTATTTTCATGCAATTATTATATTATACTATATTTATATTTACTTATTGTATTTATACTTATGATATTTATAAATACATTATTGCAAATGATTATTACTATTAATTATTTTATGCAATTATTATTATTTATATTTACTTATTGTATTTATACTTATGATATTTATAAATACATTATTGCAAATGATTATTACTATTAATTATTTTATGCAATTATTATTATTTATATTTACTTATTGTATTTATACTTATGATATTTATAAATACATTATTGCAAATGATTATTACTATTAATTATTTTATGCAATTATTATTATTTATATTTACTTATTGTATTTATACTTATGATATTTATAAATACATTATTGCAAATGATTATTACTATTAATTATTTTATGCAATTATTATTATTTATATTTACTTATTGTATTTATACTTATGATATTTATAAATACATTATTGCAAATGATTATTACTATTAATTATTTTATGCAATTATTATTATTTATATTTATTTATTGTATTTATACTTATTATATTTATAAATACATTATTGCAAATTATTATTATTTATTGTATCTGTAAGTTATTGCAAATATTATATATTTTATTCTATTTTTATTTATTCTATTTATAAATACATTATTGCAAATGATTATTACTCTTAATTATTTTATGCAATTATTACTATTTATATTTATTTATTGTATTTATACTTATTATATTTATAAATACATTATTGCAAATTATTATTACTATTAATTATTTTATGCAATTATTATTATTTATATTTATTTATTGTATTTATACTTATTATATTTATAAATACATTATTGCAAATTATTATTATTTATTATATCTGTAAATTATTGCAAATATTATATATTTTATTCTATTTTTATTTATTCTATTTATAAATACATTATTGCAAATGATTATTACTCTTAATTATTTTTATGCAATTATTATTAATTATGTTATTATACTTATATTTGTAAATACATTATTGCAAACTATTATTATTCATTATATCTATAAATTATTGCAAATATTATTATTTATTTTATTATATTTTTTATTTATTATATTTATTAATACATTATTGCAAATTATTATTACTATTAATTATTTTTTAATTAAAAGTGGGTCCAGGGGCCACCTATGGCCTTTGTATATATTCTATATTCCTTTCTAACGTTAGTAACACAACCAAGTGTTGTATTCCCTCTTGCCGGGGAGGCTGCGTTTTTTGGCATCGGCTTTGGTCCGAACAGATGGTCCTGGGAACAAGCGGCCAGTTGGTGTTTTCCTCCCTTTCCGCGGTGGGTGGACTTGGAATTTGCAGGGAGTGGGATCTCTTCTGGAAGCAATCCTGCGTGACCGATTCACAGCATTGGACAAACATCCTGAACTGTTTCTCTGGTTGTGGGTGGACTACAACTCCCAGAAAGGAAGGAAATCTAGGATGAAACTGTCCCCGAATGGAAGCTGTCACTTGGGTGGTGGGCAGTAAAATTCCACACCAATGGAGAGAGTAAGGAACACTGGGGTGTCTGTGGTGGAGGAAGCACATATATAATAATAATAATAATAATAATAATAATAATAATAATAATAATAATAATAACATGAAATCTAGGATGAAATTGTCCCTGAATGAGAGCCTTCACTTGGGTTGTGGAGGACATTGGCAGGGCAAATTCCACACCGATGGAGAGAGTAAGGAACACTGGGGTGTCTGTGGTGGAGGAAGCACATAAATAATAATAATAATAATAATAATAATAATAATAATAATAACATGAAATCTAGGATGAAATTGTCCCTGAATGAGAGCCTTCACTTGGGTTGTGGAGGACATTGGCAGGGCAAAATTCCACACCAATGGAGAGAGTAAGGAACACTGGGGTGTCTGTGGTGGAGGAAGCACATAAATAATAATAATAATAATAATAACATGAAATCTAGGATGAAATTGTCCCTGAATGAGAGCCTTCACTTGGGTTGTGGAGGACATTGGCAGGGCAAAATTCCACACCAATGGAGAGAGTAAGGAACACTGGGGTGTCTGTGGTGGAGGAAGCACATAAATAATAATAATAATAATAACATGAAATCTAGGATGAAATTGTCCCTGAATGAGAGCCTTCACTTGGGTTGTGGAGGACATTGGCAGGGCAAAATTCCACAGCAATGGAGAGAGTAAGGAACGCTGGGGTGTCTGTGGTGGAGGAAGCACATAAATAATAATAATAATAACATGAAATCTAGGATGAAATTGTCCCTGAATGAGAGCCTTCACTTGGGTTGTGGAGGACATTGGCAGGGCAAATTCCACACCAATGGAGAGAGTAAGGAACACTGGGGTGTCTGTGGTGGAGGAAGCACATAAATAATAATAATAATAATAATAACATGAAATCTAGGATGAAATTGTCCCTGAATGAGAGCCTTCACTTGGGTTGTGGAGGACATTGGCAGGGCAAAATTCCACACCAATGGAGAGAGTAAGGAACACTGGGGTGTCTGTGGTGGAGGAAGCACATAAATAATAATAATAATAATAATAATAATAATAATAATAATAACATGAAATCTAGGATGAAATTGTCCCTGAATGAGAGCCTTCACTTGGGTTGTGGAGGACATTGGCAGGGCAAAATTCCACACCAATGGAGAGAGTAAGGAACACTGGGGTGTCTGTGGTGGAGGAAGCACATAAATAATAATAATAATAATAACATGAAATCTAGGATGAAATTGTCCCTGAATGAGAGCCTTCACTTGGGTTGTGGAGGACATTGGCAGGGCAAATTCCACACCAATGGAGAGAGTAAGGAACACTGGGGTGTCTGTGGTGGAGGAAGCACATAAATAATAATAATAATAATAACATGAAATCTAGGATGAAATTGTCCCTGAATGAGAGCCTTCACTTGGGTTGTGGAGGACATTGGCAGGGCAAAATTCCACACCAATGGAGAGAGTAAGGAACACTGGGGTGTCTGTGGTGGAGGAAGCACATAAATAATAATAATAATAATAATAATAATAATAATAATAATAATAACAACATGAAATCTAGGATGAAATTGTCCCTGAATGAGAGCCTTCACTTGGGTTGTGGAGGACATTGGCAGGGCAAATTCCACACCAATGGAGAGAGTAAGGAACACTGGGGTGTCTGTGGTGGAGGAAGCACATAAATAATAATAATAATAATAATAATAATAATAATAATAATAACATGAAATCTAGGATGAAATTGTCCCTGAATGAGAGCCTTCACTTGGGTTGTGGAGGACATTGGCAGGGCAAAATTCCACACCAATGGAGAGAGTAAGGAACACTGGGGTGTCTGTGGTGGAGGAAGCACATAAATAATAATAATAATAATAATAATAATAATAATAATAATAACATGAAATCTAGGATGAAATTGTCCCTGAATGAGAGCCTTCACTTGGGTTGTGGAGGACATTGGCAGGGCAAATTCCACACCAATGGAGAGAGTAAGGAACACTGGGGTGTCTGTGGTGGAGGAAGCACATTAATAATAATAATAATAATAATAATAATAATAATAATAACATGAAATCTAGGATGAAATTGTCCCTGAATGAGAGCCTTCACTTGGGTTGTGGAGGACATTGGCAGGGCAAATTCCACACCAATGGAGAGAGTAAGGAACACTGGGGTGTCTGTGGTGGAGGAAGCACATAAATAATAATAATAATAATAACATGAAATCTAGGATGAAATTGTCCCTGAATGAGAGCCTTCACTTGGGTTGTGGAGGACATTGGCAGGGCAAATTCCACACCAATGGAGAGAGTAAGGAACACTGGGGTGTCTGTGGTGGAGGAAGCACATAAATAATAATAATAATAATAATAACATGAAATCTAGGATGAAATTGTCCCTGAATGAGAGCCTTCACTTGGGTTGTGGAGGACATTGGCAGGGCAAATTCCACACCAATGGAGAGAGTAAGGAACACTGGGGTGTCTGTGGTGGAGGAAGCACATAAATAATAATAATAATAATAATAATAATAATAATAATAACATGAAATGAAATTGTCCCTGAATGAGAGCCTTCACTTGGGTTGTGGAGGACATTGGCAGGGCAAATTCCACACCAATGGAGAGAGTAAGGAATACTGGGGTGTCTGTGGTGGAGGCAACATATGAAATCTACGATGAAATTGTCCCCAAATGAAAGCTGCCACTTGGGTAGTGGGCTTTGTGGTGTTGGTGTAGGACATTGGCAGGGCAAATTCCACACCAATGGAGAGAGCAAGGAACACTGGGATGTCTCTGGTGGAGGCAACACATGAAATCTAGGATGAAATTTTGCCCAAATGGGTGGTGAGCAGTGTGGTGTTGGTGGAGGACGTTGGCAGAGCAAATTCCACACTAATGGAGAGAGTAAGGGACACTGGGATGCCGTGGTGGAGGAAACACATTAAATCTAGGATGAAATTGTCCCTGAATGGAAGCTGTCAGTTGGGTGGTAGGCAGTGTGGTGTTGGTGAAGGAAATTGACAGGGCAAATTCCACACCAATGGAGAGAGTAAGGAACACTGGGATGCCGTGGTAGAGGAAACACATGAAATCTAGGATGAAATTGTCCCCAAATGGGTGGTGGGCAATGAGGTGTTGGTGGAGGACATTGGCAGGGCACATTCCACTCCAATGGAGAGAGTAAGGAACACTGGGATGCCTGTGGTGGAGCCAACACATGAACTCTAGGATGAAATTGTCCCTGAATGAAAGCCTTCACTTGGGTTGTGGAGGACATTGGCAGTGCAAATTCCACACTAATGGAGAGAGTAAGGAACAGTGGGATGTCTGTGGTGGAGGCAACACATGAAATCTAGGATGAAATTGTCCCTGAACTTGGGTAGTGGGCAGTGTGGTGTTGGTGGAGGACATTGGCAGGGCAAATTCCACACCAATGGAGAGAGTAAGGAACACTGGGATGTCTGTGGTGGAGGCAACACATGAAATCTAGGATGAAATTGTCCCCAAATGGAAGCCGTCACTTGGGTGGTGGGCAGTGTGGTGTTGGTGGAGGGCATTGTCCCCGAATGAAAGCCTTCACTTGGGTTGTGGAGGACATTGGCAGGGCAAATTCCACACCAATGGAGAGAGTAAGGAACACTGGGATGTCTGTGGTGGAGGCAACAAATGAAATCTAGGATGAAATTGTCCCTGAATGAAAGCCTTCACTTGGGTTGTGGAGGACATTGGCAGTGCAAATTCCACACTAATGGAGAGAGTAAGGAACAGTGGGATGTCTGTGGTGGAGGCAACACATGAAATCTAGGATGAAATTGTCCCTGAACTTGGATGGTGGGCAGTGTGGTGTTGGTGGAGGACATTGGCAGGGCAAATTCCACACCAATGGGGAAAGTAAGGAACACTGGGGTGTCTGTGGTGGAGGAAACACATGAAATCTAGGATGAAATTGTCCCCAAATGGAAGCCGTCACTTGGGTGGTGGGCAGTGTGGTGTTGGTGGAGGACATTGGCAGGGCAAATTCCACACCAATGGGGAAAGTAAGGAACACTGGGGTGTCTGTGGTGGAGGAAACACATGAAATCTAGGATGAAATTGTCCCCAAATGGAAGCCGTCACTTGGGTGGTGGGCAGTGTGGTGTTGGTGGAGGACATTGGCAGGGCAAATTGCACACCAATGGAGAGAGTAAGGAACATTTGGATGTCGTGGTGGAGAAACGCATAAAATCATATATTTTCATGTTTACCCAAAAGCTATAGAAATTGCCACTATACCCTTCTTTCCCACGGCGTTGCACATTTCAAGCCCGGCCTTGTTGAATCCTCGCCTGACCCAGTTGTTGGCTGCGATGCCCGGTTGAAACGGTGCCCAGCTTTCCTCCGGCATTTAATGACACTTCCGCTCTCTTCTTCCTTTTTTTCCAGCTTGCAATGTCACCATTCACAACCGCTGCAAAGACACCCTCCCCAACTGCACCAAAGTCAAGCAGAAGGTGAGTTGCTAGGGACTTTTCAGCAGAGGCTGGATGGGCATCTGCCGGGAGAGCTTCGATTGTGGCTTCCTACCTGACAAACTGGGGTTGGACTGGATGGCCTTTGGGGTCCCTCCCAACTCGATGGTGCGATGATTCTCTTCTTCCCTCCGCAGCAGCAGAAGGCCGCCTTCCTCAAGAACAATTCCGCCCTTCAGACGGTCTCCTTGCGGAGCAAACGTGAGTTGTGCTGGTTAATGTTGTGCAGAAGCGGGGATTATGGGAATTGGAAATATCATTCAATGCCAGGATTGTCTGTTATAGCTGTTAACACATCTGGGCGCAGATAGTTACATTATAATCGGCATATTGGAGTTCTATAATAGACATTGTAAGTCTTCTGAATGCACACAGGCTACATTATCATCGGCATATTGGAGTTCTGTAACAGACATTTTAAGTCTTCTGAATGCGCACAGGCTACGTTATTGTCGGCATATTGGAGTTCTGTAACAAATATTGTAGGTTTTCTTCTGAATGCGCACAGTCTATGCTATCGTTGGCATATCGTTGGCATTGTAGGTCTTCTGAATGTGCACAGACTACGTTATCATCTGCATACTGGAGTTCTATAACAGACATTGTAGATCTTCTTCTGAATGCGCACAGACTATGTTATCATCTGCCTATCTGCAATATGCCGGCGATAATGTAGTCAGTGCGCATTCAGAAGAAGACCTACAATGTCTTGCATTGTAGATCTTCTTCTGAATGCGCACAGACTAAGTTATCGTAGGCATATTGGAGTTCTGTAACAGACATTGTGGGTTTTCTTCCGCATGTGCACAGACTACGATATTGTTGGCATATTGGAGTTCTATAACAGGCATTGTAGGTCTTCTTCTGAATGCGCACAGACTACGTTATCATCTGTCTATCTGCAATATGCCGATGATAACGTAGTCTGTGCGCATTCAGAAGAAGAACTACAATGCCTACAATAGTCTGTAACAGACATTGTGGGTTTTCTTCTGCATGTGCACAGACGACGTTTTCATCTGCATATTGGAGTTCTATAACAGACATTTTAGGTCTTGTGAATGCACACAGACTACGTTATCATAGGCATATTGGAGTCCTAAAACAGACGTTGTTGTGACCTTGGTTTTTGCTGCTGAGGTTAGATAGCTTGCGGTCTATGATTCTATGGCTTGATAGTATCTCTCGCTGTTTGGAAATCTCAGCGTCCAACTGGGAGCACCCTAATTCATGTCTGGGCGCAGATGGTTACGTTATGATCGGCATGTTGGAGTTCTATAACAGATATTGTAGGTCTTCTTCTGAATGTGCACAGACTACGTTATCGTCGGCGTATTGGAGTTCTATAACAGACGTTTTTTGTGACCTTGGTTTTGGCTGCTGAGGTTAAATCTATGATTCTATGGCTTGACAGTATCTCTCTCTCTTTGGAATTCCCAGCGTCCAACCGGGAGCGCCCCAATTCGGCCATCTATCCCTCGGAGAGTTTCCGCCAGACCCTGCTGGGATCCCGCCGGGGCCGGCCCACTTTGTCTCTCTCCAAAAGCGTTTCCACCACAAACATTGCAGGGTGAGTTTGAATGACGAGGAAGGGAACTTAATTGGGGTGAAATAATAATAATAATAATAATAATAATAATAATAATAATAATAATAATAGTAATAATAATAATAATAATGCGTGCCATAGCAGAAAATGGAAACACTGGGATGCCTGTGGTGGAGGAAACACAGAAATAATAATAATAATAATAATAATAATAATAATAATAATAATAATGTGTGCCATAGCAAAGAATAGGAAAGGGTTATGGGAGAGGCAGTGGGTGGGGTCATGCAATTTTCACACCAATGGAGAGCGTCAGAAACACTGGGATGCCTGTGGTGGAGGAAACACAGAAATAATAATAATAATGATGATGTGTGCCATAGCAAAGAATAGGAAAGGGTTATGGGAGAGGCAGTGGGTGGGGTCATGCAATTTCCACACCAATGGAGAGAGTCAGAGACACTGGGATGCCTGTGGTGGAGGAAACACAGAAATAATAATAATAATAATAATAATAATAATAATAATAATAATAATAATAATAATGTGTGCCATAGCAAAGAATAGGAACGGGTTATGGGAGAGGCAGTGGGTGGGGTCATGCCATTTCCACACCAATGGGGAGAGTCAGAAACACTGGGATGCCTGTGGTGGAGGAAACACAGAAATATTATTATTATTAATAATAATAATAATAATAATAATAATAATAATGTGTGCCATAGCAAAGAATAGGAAAGGATTAAGGGAGAGGCAGTGGGTGGGGTCATGCAAATTCCACACCAATGGAGAGAGTCAGAAACAATAGGATGCCTTTGGTGGAGGAAACACAGAAATAATATTAATAATAATAATAATAATAATAATAATAATAATAATGTGTGCCATAGCAAGGAATAGGAAAGGATTAAGGGAGAGGCAGTGGGCGGGGTCATACAAATTCCAGACCAGTGGGGAGAGTCAGAAACACTGGGATGCCTGGTAAAGTCTGTGATGGATAGTAATGATTTTACTTCCTCTTCCATAGGAACTTCAACGATGAGGCTCCGCTGGGCCTCCGAAGGATCCTGTCCCAATCCACCGATTCCCTAAATATACGCAATCGGACTCTCTCTGTCGAGTCGCTCATCGATGAAGGTGAGCTAACCACCGACACGCATACATATAGCATGGAGGATGCATACTATGGAAAGCGAGGGCTGACTGTAGATCTATATCTTTCTCTCTGTTTTGAATCCTCCAGGAGCTGAAGTCATCTATAACCAGCTGATGAGCGACTTCGAGATGGACGAGAAGGATTTCGAAGCCGATTCCTGGAGTCTGGCCGTCGACAATACCTTCCTGCAGCAGCACAAGAAGGAAGTGATGAAGCGCCAAGACGTCATTTACGGTGGGCATCCAAAAAAATCCAAAAAGGAGGCGGTGCTTTAAAACTGACTTCTCTGGCTTCAAAACTGGCTTCTCTGGCTTGAGCCGAGGACAGGAAATTCCTTCCTTTTCTGGTTTAAAACTTGCTTCTCTGGTGTTAAAACTAGCTTCTCTGGCTTGAGCCAAGGCCAGGGACCAGGAGCGAGGAAAAGCAATTGGAGGAAATTCCTTCCTGTCCTGGTTTAAAACTGGCTTCTCTGGCTTTAAAACTGGCTTCTCTGGCTTCAAAACTGGCTTCTCTGGCTTGAGCCGAGCAGGAAATTCCTTCCTTCTCTGGTTTAAAGCTGGCTTCTCTGGCTTGAGCCGAGGCCAGGGACCAGAAGCGGGAAAAAGCAAGTGAAGGAAATTCCTTCCTTCTATGGTTTAAAACTGGCTTCTCTGGCTTTAAAACTGGTTTCTCTGGCTTGAGCCGAGGCCAGGAAATTCCTTCCTTCTCTGGTTTAAAACTGGCTTCTCTGGCTTGAGCCAAGGCCAGGGACCAGAAGCAGGGAAAAGAGGAAATTCCTTCCTTCTCTGGTTTAAAACTGGCTTCTCTGGCTTTAAAACTGGCTTCTCTGGCTTGAGAAACTGGCTTCTCTGGCTTTAAAACTGGCTTCTCTGGCTTCAAAACTGGCTTCTCTGGCTTGAGCCGAGGCCAGGAAATTCCTTCCTTCCCTGGTTTAAAACTGGCTTCTCTGGCTTGAGCCGAGGCCAGGAAATTCCTTCCTTCCCTGGTTTAAAACTGGCTTCTCTGGCTTGAGCCGAGGCCAGGAAATTCCTTCCTTCCCTGGTTTAAAACTGGCTTCTCTGGCTTTAATCTTAGCTTCTCTGGCTTGAGCCAAGGCCAGGAACCAGAAGCCGGGAAAAGCAAGCGGAGGAAATTCCTCTCTGGTTTAAAAACGGCTTCTCTGGCTTGAGTCGAGGCCAGGAAATTCCTTCCTTTTCTGGTTAAACTGGCTTCTCTGGCTTGAGCCAAGGCCAGGGACCAGAAGCAGGGAAAAGCAAGTGGAGGACATTCCTTCCTTCCCTGGCTTAAAAGTGGCTTCTCTGGCTTGAGCCAAGGCCAGAAAATTCCTTTCTTCGCTGGCTTCAAACTGGCTTCTCCTGCTTGAGCCGAGGCCAGGAAATTCCTTCCTTCTCTGGTTTAAAACTGGCTTCTCTGGCTTGAGCCAAGGCCAGGAAATTCCTTCCTTCTCTGGTTACTGGCTTCTCTGGCTTTAAAACTGGCTTCTCTGGCTTGAGCCGAGGCCAGGAAATTCCTTCCTTCTCTGGTTTAAAACTGGCTTCTCTGGCTTGAGCCAAGGCCAGGGATCAGAAGCGGGGAAGGCCAGGAAATTCCTTCCTTCTCTGGTTTAAAACTGGCTTCTCTGGCTTTAAAACTGACTTCTCTGGCTTGAGCCCAGGCCTGAGGCCAGGAAATTTCTTCCTTCTCTGGCTTTAAAACTGGCTTCTCTGGCTTGAGCCGAGGCCAGGAAATTCCTTCCTTCTCTGGTTTAAAACTGGCTTCTCTGGCTTGAGCCGAGGCCAGGAAATTCCTTCCTTCTGGTTTAAAACTGGCTTCTCTGGCTTTAGACCAAACCAGAAGCAGGGAAAATCAAGTGGAGGAAATTCCTTCCTTCCCTGGTTTAAAGCTGGCTTCTCTGGCTTGAGCCGAGGCCAGGAAATTCCTTCCTTCCCTGGTTTAAAACTGGCTTCTCTGGCATTAATCTTAGCTTCTCTGGCTTGAGCCAAGGCCAGGAACCAGAAGCCGGGAAAAGCAAGCGGAGGAAATTCCTCTCTGGTTTAAAAATGGCTTCTCTGGCTTGAGCCGAGGCCACGAAATTCCTTCCTTCCCTGGTTTAAAACTGGCTTCTCTGGCCTTAAAACTGGCTTCTCTGGCTTGAGCTGAGGTCAGGGACCAGAAGTGAGGAAAAGCAATTGGAGGAAATTCCTTCCTTCTCTGGATTTAAAATTGGCTTCTCTGGCTTGAGCCGAGGGCAGGAAATTCCTCTCTGGTTTAAAACCAGCTTCTCTGGCTTTAAAACTGGCTTCTTTGCATGGGTCTGAGGCCAGGAAATTCTTTCCTTCTCTGGTTTAAAACTGGCTTCTCTGGCTTTAAAACCGGCTTCTCTGGCTTGAACCGAAGCCAGGAAAATCCTTCCCGTCCTGGTTTAAAACTGGCTTCTCTGGCTTGAACCGAGGCCAGAAAATTTCTTCCTTCTCTGGTTTAAAACTGGCTTCTCTGGCTTGAGCCAAGGCCAGGGACCAGAAGCAGGGAAAAGCAATTGGAGGAAATTTCTTCCTTCTCTGGTTTAAAACTGGCTTGTCTGGCGGGGAAAAGCTGAATCATATCCGACTCACTTCATGAGTCATAACAAAAATGGCGGAAAAAGCTTCGGAAGGACAAAGGGACTTCCGGTTTTCTTAAAAACTTCGAAATGGCTTCCAAAAGGTAATTTTTATGACTTTATTCTGAATTACGAAGATTCCGACGGTACATAACCATGCCTATTAAACAGAAGCTGGATGGCCATCTGTTAGGGGGTGCTTTGAATGTGATTTTCCTGCTTCCTGCTCTATGATTCTATCATTCTTCCAACTCTACGATTCTATGATTCTACCTGTCTCAGAGTTGAGGTCCTCCTCTATGTCCCATCTGCCAGGGCAGTGTAACGTGGGAGGATATGTTCGTCAGTGTCTCTTGAATGTTTCTCTTCCCATGATGGACCTCTCTGTTGCCAACAGAGTTGATCCAGACGGAGCTGCACCACGTCCAGACCCTGAAGATCATGGCCAACCTCTTCCGCAAGGGGATGCTGGAGGACCTCCAGATGGACGCAGCCGTGGTGCAGAGCATGTTCCCCAGCCTGGACGAGCTCAACGAGATCCACGACCGGTTCCTCGTCCAGCTTCTGGAGCGCCGCAAAGAATCGCTCGCCGCGGACAGCAACAAGAACTTCGTCATCAACCGGTTGGGAGACATCCTGGTCCAGCAGGTAAGGGGTCCACCATCGTTGTCATTGTCATCCTAGGTGGCCAGAGTTCGCCATATCTCCAGGTCTGAGTCCAACCCGACCTGAGGAAACAATACCTGACGATTTGACCCTTGCCTTTCCCCAGTTTTCTGGCTCCAATGCCGAGCAAATGAAGAAGGCCTACTCGGAGTTTTGCAGCCGCCACACCAAAGCCGTCAAAGTTTACAAAGAGCTCCTCGCCCGGGACAAGCGGTTCCAGCAGTTTATCCGGGTATTTATTGATCGTATTTATTTGTCGTGTCAGAGCAGACAGTCCATTATATTACATTTCTAACAGAACAAAGCAAACAAACAGACAAATACACAACTTGTGAGTTTGGTAGTTGGTTAATTGTCCTTTGACCAGTATCTGGTCCCTTGGAGTGCCTCTGGTGTTGCCGCAAGAAGGTCCTCCATGGTGCATGTGGCACGGCTCAGGGTGCATTGCAGCAGGTGGTCAGTGGTTTGCTCTTCTCCGCACTTGCATGTCGTGGACTCCACTTGGTGGCCCCATTTCTTGAGGTTGGCCCTGCATCTCGTGGTGCCAGAGCACAGTCTGTTCAGTGCCTTCCAAGTCGCCCAGTCCTCTGTGTGCCCAGGAGGGAGTCTCTCATTTGGTATCAGTCATTGAGGTTCTGGGTTTGAGCCTGCCACTTTTGGACTCTCGCTTGCTGAGGTGTTCCAGCTGAGTGTCTCTGTAGATCTTAGAAAACTATTTCTTGATTTAAGTCGTTGACGTGCTGGCTGATACCCAAACAGGGGATGAGCTGGAGATGTCTCTGCCTTGGTCCTTTCACTATTGGCTGCTACTTCCCGGCGGATGTCAGGTGGTGCAATACCGGCTAAGCAGTGTAATTTCTCCAGTGGTGTAGGGCGCAGACACCCCGTGATAATGCGGCATGTCTCATTAAGAGCCACATCCACTGTTTTAGTGTGGTGAGATGTGTTCCACACTGGGCATGCATACTCAGCAGCAGAGTAGCACAGCGCAAGGGCAGATGTCTTCACTGTGTCTGGTTGTGATCCCCAGGTTGTGCCAGTCAGCTTTCGTATGATATTGTTTCTAGCGCCCACTTTTTGCTTGATGTTCAGGCAGTGCTTCTTGTAGGTCAGAGCACGGTCCAGGTGACTCCCAGGTATTTGGGTGTGCTGCAATGCTCCAGTGGGATTCCTTCCCAGGTAATCCTCAGAGCTCGGGATGCTTGTCTGTTCTTAAGGTGAAAGGCATATGTCTGTGTTTTAGATGGGTTGGGGATCAGCTGGTTTTCCCTGAAATAGGCAGTAAGAGCACCTAAAGCTTCGGAGAGCTTCTGTTCAGCCATTTCAAAGCTCCCTGCTTGAGCAGTGATGGCCTGATCGTCAGTGTAGATGGATTAGGAATCAGTTGGTGTACAAAACAAAACAAGTTTGAAGCGACCAGCATTTATTGATCGTGTCAGAAGCAAATTGAGAATACAATTCCCAGTTGTGTTCTCAAGGTTAAAAACTTGGCGTTATGTTAAATATAATAATAATAATAATAATGATAATAATAATAATAATAATAATAATAATAATAATAATAATAATGTGTGTGTGCCATAGCAAAGAATAGGAAAGGGTTAAGGGAAAGGCAGTGAGTGGGGTGATGCAAATTCCAAACCAATGGAGAGAGTCAGGAACACTGGGATGCCTGTGGTGGAGGAAACACAGAAATTATTATTATTATTATTATTAATAATAATAATAATAATAATTAAATGTATTGTAATAATAATAATGATAGGGTTGAGGGAGAGAGTCAGAACCAATGGAGAGAGTCAGAAACACTGGGATGCCTGTGGTGAAGGAAACACGGAAATAATAATAATAATAATAATAATAATAATAATAATAATAATAATAAATTGTTAAATGTAACAATAATAATATGTGTGCCATAGCAAAGAATAGGAAAGGGTTAAGGGGGAGGCAGTGGGTGGGGTCATGCAAATTCCAAACCAATGGAGAGAGTCAGGAACACTGGGATGCCTGTGGTGGAGGAAACACAGAAATTATTATTAATAATAATCATTAAATGTAATGTAATATTAATGATAATAATAATAAGTGTACCATAGCAATTCCAAACCAATGGAGAGAGTCAGAAACACTGGGATGCCTGTGATGGAGGAAACACAGAAATTATAATAATAATAATTATTATTATTAATTGTTAAATGTAATGTAATGCAAATGTAATGTCATGCAAATTCCAAAGCAATGGAGAGAGTCAGGAACACTGGGATGCCTGTGGTGGAGGAAACACAGAAATAATAATAATAACAATACTACTACTACTACTACTACTACTACTAATAATAATAATAATAATAATAATTGTTATTATTATTAATCATTAAATGTAATGCAATAATAATAATAATAATATGTGTGCCATAGCAAAGAATAGGAAAGGGTGAAGGGAGAGGCAGTGGGTGGGGTCATGCAAATTCCAAAACAATGGAGAGAGTCAGAAACACTGGGATACCAGTGGTGAAGGAAACACAGAGATTATTATTATTAATAATTGTTAAATGTAATGTAATAATAATAATATTACATTACATTTAACGATTAAGAATAATAATAATAATAATAATAATAATAATAATAATAATATAATTTCTGTGTTTCGTTCACCACAGGCATCCCAGTGTTTCAGAAGCAAATAATATGTGTGCCATAGCAAATGTGTGTGTGCAAAGAATAGGAAAGGGTTAAGGGAGAGGCAGTGGGCGGGGTCATGCAAAGTCCAAACCAATAGAGAGTCTGGAACACTGGGATGCCTGTGGTGAACGAAACACAGAAATTATTATTATTAATAATATGTGTGTCATAGCAAAGAATAGGAAAGGGTTAAGGGAGAGGCAGTGGGGCGGGGTCATGCAAATTCCAAACCAATGGAGAGAGTCAGGAACACTGGGATGCCTGTGGTGGAGGAAACACAGAAATAATAATAATAATAATAATAATAATAATAATAATAATAATGTGTGTGTGCCATAGCAAAGAATAGGAAAGGGTTAAGGGGGAGGCAGTGGGCGGGGTCATGCAAAGTCCAAAATAATGGAGAGAGTCAGGAACACTGGGATGCCTGTGGTGAAGGAAACACAGAAATTATTATTATTATTAATTGTTAAATGTAATGTAATAATAATAATAATAATAATAATAATAATAATAATAATAATGTCCAAAACAATGCAGAGAGTCAGGAACACTGGGATGCCTGTGGTGAAGGAAACACAGAAATTATTATTAATAATAATTGTTAATTGTTAAATGTAATGTAATAATAATAATAATAATAATAATAATAAAGTCCAAAACAATGGAGAGTCAGGAACACTGGGATGCCTGTGGTGAAGGAAACACAGAAATAATAATAATAATAATAATAATAATAATAATTAATAATAATCATCATCATTAAATGTAATGTAATCATAATAATAATATGTGTGCCATAGCAAAGAATAGGAAAGGGTTAAGGGAGAGGCAGTGGGCGGGGTCATGCAAAGTCCAAACCAATGGAGAGAATCAGGAACACTGGGATGCCAGTGGTGAAGGAAAGACAGAAATCATTATTATTATTATTATTATTATTATTATTATTAATCATTAAATGTAATGCCATAATAATAATGTGTACCATAGCAAAGAATAGGAAAGGGTTAAGGGAGAGGCAGTGGGCGGGGTCATGCACATTCCAAACCAATGGAGAGAATCAGGAACACTGAGATGCCTGTGGTGAAGGAAACACGGAAATTATTATTATTATTATTATTATTATTATTATTATTATTATTATTATTAATCATGTTGGAAGTAAATTGAGAATGCGCACCTTCTATTTTAATCAGTTTTATACTAATTTATGCAATGCTTTTGATACGAAATAAATAAACAAACAAATTCTCATTGCTCTTCCCAGAGGCTGACGCGGTTATCGGTGCTGCGGAGGCACGGCATGCAGGAATGCATCCTCCTGGTCACACAACGCCTCACCAAATACCCCGGGCTTGTGGACCGGATCCTGCAGAACTCCAAAGGTACCTGTGGATGATGGGAGATAGTCTATGCGTTCCCTTTAGCTCCTAGAAAACGGCGAGAGAGGATATGTTTGGTCAGAGGTGGGTAAACGAAACTCTCAATTGGACTTCGGTGTCTCTGCCTTCCTTTCTTCCCAGGGAACGAAGCTGACCAGCATGATCTGAGCACGGCGCTGACGCTGGTGAAGGACCTCATCAAGGACATCGACCAAGAGGTCCATGACTACGAGAAGAGCACGCGGCTGCAGGAGATCTATGCGCGAGTGGACGGGCGCGCCAAGGCTTCCTTGCCCTGGGAACACGGCTTCTTTGGGAAGGACGAAATGCTGCGGCGCAAGCTGGTCCATGACGGGTGCATGCTCTGGAAGACGGCCACCGGGCGCTTCAAAGGTAGGTGGGGCTTCAAAGGTGGGTGGAGCTTCAAAGGTGGGTGGGACTTCAGAGGTAGGTGGGACTTCATAAGTGGGTGGGACTTCAGAGGTGGGTAGAACTTCAATCGTGGATGAGTTTCACAGATGGGTGGAGATTCAAAGGTGGATGGTCTTCATAGGTGGGTGGAGATTCAAAGGTAGGTGGGACTTCACAGGTGGATGGTCTTCACAGGTGGGTGGAGATTCAAAGGTAGGTGGGATTTCACAGGTGGATGGTCTTCATAGGTGGGTGGAGATTCAAAGGTGGATGGTCTTCATAGGTGGGTGGAGATTCAAAGGTGGATGGTCTTCATAGGTGGGTGGAGCATCAGAGGTAGGTGGTCTTCATAGGTGGGTGGAGCATCAGAGGTAGGTGGGACTTCAAATGTGGATGGTCTTCATAGGTGGGTGGAGATTCAAAGGTAGGTGGGACTTCAAAGGTGGATGGGACTTCAAAGGTAGGTGGGACTTCAAAGGTGGATGGGACTTCAAAGGTGGATGGTCTTCATAGGTGGGTGGAGATTCAAAGGTAGGTGGGACTTCAAAGGTGGATGGGACTTCAAAGGTGGATGGTCTTCATAGGTGGGTGGAGATTCAAAGGTAGGTGGGACTTCAAAGGTGGATGGGACTTCAAAGGTGGATGGTCTTCATAGGTGGGTGGAGATTCAAAGGTGGATGGTCTTCATAGGTGGGTGGATTCAAAGGTAGGTGGGACTTCAAAGGTAGGTGGGGCTTCAAAGGTAGGCGGGACTTCAAAGATGGGTGGGGCTTCAAAGGTGGGTGGGACATCAAATGTGGATTCAGCTTCAAAGGTGGGTGGGGTTTCAATTGTGAATTGAGCTTCAAAGGTTGAGGGGCTTCAAAAGTAGGTGGGGCTTCAAACGTGGGTGGGGCTTCAAAGCTGGGTGGAGCTTCAAAGGTCGGGCTTCACAGGTGGGTGGAGATTCAAAAGTAGGTGGGACTTCAAAGGTGGGTGGGACTTAGAGGTGGGTGGAGCTTTAAAGGTAGGTGGGACTTCAACGGTGGGTGGAGCATCAGAGGTGGGTGGGACTTCAACGGTGGGTGGAGCATCAGAGGTAGGTGGGACTTCAGAAGTGGGTGGGGCTTCAAAGGTGGGTGGAGTATCAAATGTAGGTGGGGCTTCAACGGTGGGTGGAGCTTCAAAGGTGGGTGGGGCTTCACAGGTGAGTGGAGATTCAAAGGTGGATGGGCTTCAAAGGTGGGTGGGGCTTCAAAGGTGGGTGAAGCTTCAAAGGTGGGTGGGGCATCAAATGTGGATTCAGCTTCAAAGGTGGTGGAGTTTCAGTTGTGAATTGAGCTTCAACGGTTGAGGGGCTTCAAAAGTAGGTGGGGCTTCAAACATGGGTGGAGCTTCAAAGGTGGATGGGCTTCACAGGTGGGTGGAGATTCAAAGGTGGGTGGGACTTAGAGGTGGGTGGAGATTCAAAGGTAGGTGGAGCTTCAAAGGTGGGTGGGACTTCACAGGTGGGTGGGGCTTCAAAGATGGGTGGGGCATCAAATGTGGATTCAGCTTCAAAGGTGGATGGGCTTCACAAGTGGGTGGGACTTCAAAGGTGGATTGAGCTTCAAAGGTTGAGGGGCTTCAAAAGTAGGTGGGACTTCACAAGTGGGTGGGGCTTCAAAGGTGGATGGGGCTTCAAATGTGGATGGGGCTTCAGTGGTGGGTGGAGATTCAAAGGTAGGTGGAGCATCAGAGGTAGGTGGGACTTCACAGGTGGGTGGAGATTCAAAGGTAGGTGGGACTTCAAAGGTGGATGGGACTTAGAGGTGGGTGGAGCTTCAAACGTGGATGAGTTTCACTGGTAGTGGGACATCAAATGTGGATTGAACTTCAAAGGTTGAGGGGCTTCAAAAGTAGGTGGGGCTTCACAGGTGGGTGGGGCATCAAATGTGGATTGAGCTTCAAAGGTGGGTGGAGCTTCAAAGGTAAGTGGGACTTCAAAGGTGGGTGGAGCTTCAAAAGTAGGTGGGACTTCACAAGTGGGTGGGGCTTCACAGGTGGATGGTACTTCAAAGGTGGGTGGAGCTTCAAATGTGGATGGGCTTCACAGGTGGGTGGAGCATCAAAGGTAGGTGGAGCTTCAAACATGGATGGGCATCACAGGTGAGTGGAGCTTCAGAGGTAGGTGGGGCTTCAAAGGTGGGTGGGGCATCAAATGTGGATTGAGCTTCAAAGGTGGGTGGGGCTTCAAAGGTGGGTTGAGCTTCAAAGGTAGGTGGGACTTCACAGATGAATGGGGTTTCAGAGGTGGGTGGAGCTTCAAAGGTGGGTGGGACTTCAAATGTGGGTGGGGCTTCATAGGTGGGTTGGACTTCAAAGACGTGTGGGATATCAAATGTGGAATGAGCTTCAAAGGTAGGTGGAGCTTCAAAGGTAGGTGGGACTCCAAAGGTGGGTGGAGTGTCAAAGGTAAATGTGGCTTCAAAGTGGGTGGGGCATCAAATGTGGATTGAGCTTCAAAGGTAAGTGGGACTTCACAGATGAATGGGGCTTCAGAGGTGGGTGGAGTTTCAAAGGTGGGTGGGGTTACAAAGTTGGGAGGAGCTTCAAAGGTGGGTTGAGCTTCAAAAGTAGGTGGGACTTCAATGGTGGGTGGGGCTTCATTGGTGGGTGGGGCTTCACAAATGGATAGGGCTTCAAAGGTGAGTAGAGTTTCAATTGTGGGTGGACTTCAAAGGTGAGTGGGGCTTCAAAGGTGGGTGGAGCATCAAAGGTAGGTGGGACTTCACAGGTCAGTCAGGCTTCAAGGGGGTGGGTCTTCAAAGGTGGGTGGGGCTTCAAATGTGGATTGAACTTCAAAGGTGGATGCGGTTTCAATTGTGAGTTGAGCTTCAAAGGTAGGTGGGACTTCACAGATCAGTAAGGCTTCATGGGGGTTGGGTATCAAATGTGGATTGAGCTTCAAAGGTGAGTAGGGCTTCAATTGTGAGTTGACCTTCAAAAGTGAGTGGGGTTTCAATTGTGAGTTGACCTTCAAAGGTGAGTGGGGTTTCAATTGTGAGTTGACCTTCAAAGGTGAGTGGGGTTTCAATTGTGAGTTGACCTTCAAAGGTGAGTGGGGTTTCAATTGTGAGTTGACCTTCAAAGGTGAGTGGGGTTTCAATTGTGAGTTGACCTTCAAAGGCGAGTGGGGCTTCAAAAGTGGGTTGAGCATCAGAGGTAGGTGGGACTTCACAGATGAGTGGGTTCTTCAAGTTTGAGTTGAGCTTCAAAGGTGGGTGGAGCATTGGCCCCTAAAGCCAGTGTGACATCCTTTCTCCATCCCTCCCCAATCTTTTGCAGATGTCCTGGTGGTCTTGATGACGGATGCTCTCATCTTCCTCCAGGAGAAGGACCAAAAGTACACTTTCCCAACTTTGGTGAGTGAGTGGCCTTTTCTTAGGCCAGGAATCCTCAGAAGTAGCTCTTCCAGTTTCCTTCCTCTGAAATATCTTCTATGGCATCTTGGATTCGGTGGTGGTCACCCATACAACACTCCCAGCATTCTTCTTCCAAAGACATTGGAATGAGTCCTTGATGTTCTCCTCCATTCCTGTCCCACAGGACAAGCCAGCAGTCATCTCCATCCAAAACCTGATCGTCCGAGACATTGCCAACCAAGAGAAGGGCATGTTCCTCATCAGCAACACGCCTCCAGAGATGTACGAGGTCCACACGGCCTCCCGTGACGACCGCAACACTTGGATGAGGCAAATCCAGCAGGCCGTCAAGCTGTGAGTTGACTTAGATCTTGGAATTGTGTCCAGAGATTGGAAAGATTGGCTTCCTGGTCTGCAGGACCCTAGTCATTGGCTGTGAGATGGGTTCTGTAGTCCAAAATGGGATCCAAGTGGGAAAAAGAGAAGGAACAGTTCTCTAAAACTGGATTTCAAAAGTTCTCCCAATTGGAAGCCTATTCAGCAGTGACACCTAGTGATTGAAGGTAGTATTGCAAGGAAATGGAACAGCCTCTGGGTGGCAAGTCTTCCCAATTGGAAGCCTATGCAGCAGTGACACCTAGTGACTGAAAGTAGTATTGCGAGGAAATTGAACAATCTCTAAATGTAACTCCAGATCTAGAAGGACATTACTTGTAATGTTACTTCCTGTCCACTGGCCAGATCCTTAATGTCCTACCTTCCCAGCAAATATAAAATATAAAATATAAAAAAATTAAAATTTAGAATTTAGAATTAAAAAAATTTTTTAAAATTTAATATATAAAATATATAAAATGTATAAAAAATATAAAATATAAAACAATATAAAATAATATAAAATATATAAAATATATAAAATAATATAAAATATAAAATAATATAAAATTTAAATTTTAAAATAATATAAAATTTAAAAAATATAAAATAATATAAAATATAAAAAAATATAAAAAAATATAAAATATAAAATACCGGTAATATAAAATAATATAAAATTTAAAATTTAAAATAATATAAAATTTAAAATAATATAAAATTTAAAATAATATAAAATTTAAAATAATATAAAAATTAAAATATAAAATAATATAAAAATTAAAATATAAAATAATATAAAATAATATAAAATATAAAATAATATAAAATAATATAAAATATCAAATAATATAAAATTTAAAATATCAAATAATATAAAATTTAAAATATAAAATAAAAATTTAAATTTTTTAAAAAATTAAAAAAAAATTAAAAATAAAGTTGTGGGGATGATGGGTGTTGTAACTCTCCAAATCTAGAAAGACATGACTCAGACGATATCCACAAGGATTTACACCCATAAGGTTATTTCCACTCTTCTACCCGGACTGTAGTGCTGATTCTTTCCAAGTAAATGGGGAAGATGGGTGTTGCAACTCTCCAATCTAGAAGGAAACAGGTTTGGATGGACACCTGGAAGCTCAAACCTATTTCTTTTGCCTTCTCCTTCCAGTTGCCCCGACCGAGTGGATTTCCCGCTCATCGAGTCGGAAAATGACGCTTCCCTGCGGAAACTGAAAGGTAAGGGAATTGTAGTTTGGTGAGGCACATTTAGCAGTATTGAGTGATTTGCATATATATTAAATAATCAATATTAATAAATAGTAGACAATATTAAATAATCAATATGAATAAAAATTAAACAAAATTAACCATGAAGCTGATTGTTTGGGCAATGCCCGAGGAGCAAGCTGAGCCTGGGACCTTTGGGTACTGTTACATTTTTGTTCAGGCTTGACGAGAGAAACTGGTGTTGCTGATTGTTTGGGCAATGCCTGGGGAGCAAGCCGAGCCTGGGACTTTTGGGTACTGTTACATTATTGTTTAGGCTCGAGCTATTCAGGTGCAGAGAGACGCAGTTTGACGAGAGAAGCTGGTGTTGCTGATTGCTTGGGCAATGCCTGGGGAGCAAGCCGAGCCTGGGACTTTTGGGTACTGTTACATTATTGTTCAGGCTCGAGCTATTCAGGTGCAGAGAGACACAGTTTGACTAGAGAAGCTGGTTCAAGTGGCGTCCAACGTTCTCCAATTCCCCGTCTTCTTCCAGACAAGATCCAACAGCACGACCGGGAAATCGCAGAGCTCCTGGAGCAGAAAGTGGGCTTCTTTGCCGAACTCGTGGCTCTCCAGAGCGGCAGCGAGGAGGGACCCGCATCCGGCGCAAACCCTCGCTCCCTTTTCCGCACGGAATCGTCGGATGCACCTCACGGCGAAAAGCTCATCCAGGAGGCGGTCAAGGAAGGTAAGAAGATGCCATAGCATACAAACACAATATGGCTTGATGGCAGAATCCAATAATAATAATAATAATAATAATAATAATAATAATAATAATAATAATAATTATGGCGTAGAAACACAATATGGCTTGATGGCAGAATCCAAATATAATAATAATAATAATAATAATAATAATAATAATAATAGTAATAATGGCATGGAAACACAATATGGCTTTATGGCAGAATCCAAATATTATAATAATAATAATAATAATAATAATAATAATAATAATGGCGTAGAAACACAATATGGCTTTATGGCAGAATCCAATATTATAATAATAATAATAATAATAATAATAATAATAATAATGGCATAGAACCACAATATGGCTTGATGGCAGAATCCAAATATAATAATAATAATAATAATAATAATAATAATAATAATAATAATAATAATGGCATGGAAACACAATATGGCTTTATGGCAGAATCCAAATATTATAATAATAATAATAATAATAATAATAATAATAATAATGGCATAGAACCACAATATGGCTTGATGGCAGAATCCAAATATAATAATAATAATAATAATAATAATAATAATAATAATAGTAATAATAATAATAGTAATAATAATAGTAATAATGGCATGGAAACACAATATGGCTTTATGGCAGAATCCAAATATAATAATAATAATGATAATAATAATAATAATAATAATAATAATGGCGTAGAAACACAATATGGCTTTATGGCAGAATCCAAACATAATAATAATAATAATAATAATAATAATAATAATAATAATAATAATGGCGTAGAAACACAATATGGCTTTATGGCAGAATCCAAACATAATAATAATAATAATAATAATAATAATAATAATAATAATAATAATGGCATGGAAAGACAATACGGCTTGATGGCAGAATCCAAAAATAATAATAATAATAATAATAATAATAATAATAATAATAATAATAATGGCGTAGAAACACAATATGGCTTTATGGCAGAATCCAAACATCATAATAATAATAATAATAATAATAATAATAATAATAATAATGTCATGCGTATTCAGTGGCATAGTACCAAAGTGCAAGGGCGGATGCCGTAACTGTGTCTAGTTGTGAATCCCAGGTTGTGCCAGTCAGCTTTCGTATGATATTATTTCTGGCACCCACTTTTTGACTGGTATTCAAGCAGTGCTTCTTGTAAGTCGGAGCACCGTCCAGAGTGACTCCCATGTATGTGGGTGTGCTGCAATGCTCCAGTGGGATTCCTTCCCAGGTAATGATCCTCAGAGCTCGGGATGCTTGTCTGTTCTTAAGGTGAAAGGCACATGTCTGTGTTTTAGATGGATTAGGAATCAGCTGGTTTCCCCTGTAATAGGCAGTAAGAGCACCTCAAGCTTCGGAGAGCTTCTGTTTGACCATTTCAAAGCTCCCTGCTTGGGTGGTGATGGCACTATCGTCAGCATAGATGGATTAGGAATCGGCTGGTTTTCCCTCTAATAGGCAGTAAGAGCACCTAAAGCTTCGGAGAGCTTCTGTTCCACCATTTCAAAGCTCCCTGCTTGGGTGGTGATGGCACGATCGTCAGCGTAGATGGATTAGGAATCGGCTGGTTTTCCCTCTAATAGGCAGTAAGAGCACCTAAAGCTTCGGAGAGCTTCTGTTCCACCATTTCAAAGCTCCCTGCTTGGGTGGTGATGGCACGATCGTCAGCGTAGATGGATTAGGAATCGGCTGGTTTTCCCTCTAATAGGCAGTAAGAGCACCTAAAGCTTCAGAGAGCTTCTGTTCCACCATTTCAAAGCTCCCTGCTTGGGTGGTGATGGCACTATCGTCAGCATAGATGGATTAGGAATCGGCTGGTTTTCCCTCTAATAGGCAGTAAGAGCACCTAAAGCTTCGGAGAGCTTCTGTTCCACCATTTCAAAGCTCCCTGCTTGGGTGGTGATGGCACGATCGTCAGCGTAGATGGATTAGGAATCGGCTGGTTTTCCCTCTAATAGGCAGTAAGAGCACCTAAAGCTTCGGAGAGCTTCTGTTCCACCATTTCAAGCTCCCTGCTTGGGTGGTGATGGCACTATCGTCAGCATAGATGGATTAGGAATCGGCTGGTTTTCCCTCTAATAGGCAGTAAGAGCACCTAAAGCTTCGGAGAGCTTCTGTTCCACCATTTCAAAGCTCCCTGCTTGGGTGGTGATGGCATGATCGTCAGCATAGATGAAACTCTCTGTCCCTTTTTAACTGACGTGTGAATTCTGTTTTAATTGTTATATCTTGTAGGTTTTAAATTGCATTTAATGACAATAACAATATTTTCTTCTCGCAGTGGAACTTCTCAAAGACTTCTTTTTGGGACCCAACTGGGACCGAGACCAAAACCACGCTCCCAATGGCTGCCCCAATAACGCCGCAAGTATGATGCCTCCATCCTTTTGCAAGTTTTCCTGGGTCTCATTGAAAGAATGTAAACAGGAAACACTAGAAGTGTTTGGTGGGCATTGACCTTGAGTTTGGGAGTTGTAGTTCACCTACATCCAGAGAGCACTGTGGACACAAACAATGATGGATCGAGATCAAACTTGGCACAAATACTCAATATGCCCAAATGTGAGCATTGGTGGAGTTTGGGGAAAATAGACCTTGACATTTGGGAGTTGTAGTTACTGGGATTTATAGTTCACCTATAATCAAAAAGCATTCTGAACTCCACCAGCGATGGATTTAAACCTAACTTGGTACAAAGAACTCTCATGACCAACAGAAAACACTGGAAGGGTTTTGTGGGCATTGACCTTGAGTTTGGGAGTTGTAGTTCGCCTACATCCAGAGAGCACTGTGGACTCAAACAATGATGGATCTGGACCAAACTTGGCACATGTACTCAATATGCCCAAATGTGAACATTGATGGAGTTTGGGGAAAATAGACCTTGACATTTGGGAGTTGTAGTTACTGGGATTTATAGTTCACCTACAATCAAAGAGCATTCAATACTCCAACAATGATGGAATTGAACGAATCTTGGCACACATGACTTCCATGAGCAACAGAAAATACTGGAAGAGTTTGGTGGGCATTGCCCTTGAGTTTGGGAATTGTAGTTCACCTACATACAGAGAGCACCAAGGACTCAGACAATGACAGATCTGGACCAAACTTGGCACAAATACTCAATATGAACTAACATGAACACTGGCGGAGTTTGCAGAAAACAGGCCTTGGCATTTGGGAGTTGTACTTGCTGGGATTTATAGTTCACCTATAATCAAAGATTATTCTGAACCATACCAACAATAGAATTGGGCCAAACATCTCACACAGAATCCCCATGACCAACAGAAAGTACTGTTTTCTGATGGTCTTTGGTGACCCCTTTGACACCCCCTCATGGCACCCCCCAAGGGTCCGGACCCCCAGGTTGAGAAACACTGCTCTAGGACACTGTTTCTCAACTTGGGGGTCGCGGCCACTGGAGGGTTCGAGAGTGGGTTTCAGAGGGGTCACTAAAGACCATCAGAGGGTGAATCCTCCCACCAAAAGCCCTCCTCCTGCTGTGATTGGTCGGCCTCTCATCCAAGGGGAGGGCTCTTTCTGAGACTCCAAGCAGGGAGGGGAGAGCAGGCGTGCTCCGTGCATGGCATGTGCGAGCAAGGGAGAGTGTGCGAGGCTGGAGGGAGGCTCGCAACAGAAAGTCTCTTCTGTCTGGGAAGTTTGGCCCAATTCTATCATTGGTTGGGTGCAGAATGCTCTTTGATTGTAGGTGAACTATAAATCCCAGCAACAACAACTCCCAAATGTCAAGGTCTATTTCCCCCAAACTCCACCATTGTTCACATTTGGGCGTATTGAGTATCCATGCCAAGTTTGGTCCAGATCTATCATTGTTTGAGTCCACAGTGCACTCTGGATGGAGGTGAACTACAACTCCCAAACTCAAGGTCAAAGCCCCCCAAACCCTTCTAGTGTTTTCTGTTGGTCATGGGAGTTCTGTGTACCAAGTTTGGTTCAATTCCATCGTTGGTGGAGTTCAGAATGCTCTCTAATTGTAGGTGTACTATAAATCCCAGCAGCTACGACTCCCAAATGTCAAGGTCTATTGTCCCCAAACTCCGCCAGTGTTCACATTTGGGCGTATTGAGTATTCGGGCCAAGTTTGGTCCAGAGCCATCATTGTTTGAGTCCACAGTGCTCTCTGGATGTAGGTGAACTACAACTCCCGAACTCGGTAAACCCAGTATTTCCTGTTGGTCACAGGAGTTCTTTGCACCAGGATTGGTTCAGTTCATCGTTGGTGGAGTTCAGAGTTCAGAATCAGAAAACAGGAGTTTTGGTTGGTCATGAGAGTTCTTTGTGGGAAGTTTGGCCCAATTCTATTGTTGGTTAGGTTCAGATTGTAGGTGAACTATAAACCCCAGTAACTACAACTCCCAAATGTCAAGGTCTATTTTCCCCAAACTCCACTAGTGTCCACATTTGGGCATATTGAGTATTCGTTCCAAGTTTGGTCCAGATATATCATTGTTTGAGTCCACAGTGCTCTCTGGATGTAGGTGAACTACAAATCCCAAAGTCAAGGTCAATGGCCAGTAGTAAACCATTCCAGTATTTCCTATTGTTCATGGGAGCTCTGTGTGCCAAGTTTGGTTCAATTCAATCGTTGGTGGAATTCAGAATGCTCTTTGATTGTAGGTGAACTATAAATCCCAGCAATTATAACTCATATTTTCCCCAAACTCCACCAGTGTTCACACTTGGGAATATTTGAGTATTGGTCTAGATCCATCATTAAATATCAATATTAATATCCATCAATAAATATTAAACAAAATGAATCAAACTCCACAGTGTTCTCTATATGTAGGTGAACTATAACTCCCAAACTCAAGGTCAATGCCGACCAAACCTATCCAGTATTTTCTGCCATATTATGGGAGTTCTGTGTTCCAATAATTGGTTCAATTCCATCGTTGGTGGAGTTCAGAATGCTCTTTGATTGTAGGTGAACTATAAATCCCAGCAACTACAACTCCCAAATATCAAGGTCTATTTCCCCCAAACTCCACCAGTGTTCACATTTGGGCCTACTGAGTATTGGTCCAGGTCCATCATTGTTTGAGTCCACAGTGTTCCCTGTATGTAGGTGAACTACAACTCCCAAACTCAAGGTCAATGCCCACCAAATCCTTCCAGTATTTTCTGTTGGTCCTGTGTTCCAAGACTGGTTCAATTCCATGCCTTCTTCTCTTTCTCCCTACAGATGGGGAAACCGGGAACGTCAACGGCTCACTTGAATTCCCGAGGGCTGAGTCCGAGTCCAACCCGCGGGTAAGTCTCTCCAAAGTACGATGGCCGCAGTTGCGTTGTGTTGACGTCTAGATTCGCTTTCAGGCCCATTGGCTTGGGGATCATTTGAACCCAGAACATCTTGGGCTTAAATATTAGTAAATAATATTTATTTAAATAATAAATATTATTTATTACTATTTAAGCCCAAGATATTCTGGGTTCATTTTGCTTAATATTTATTTATTAATATTTATTCTGGGTTAATATTTATTAATATTTATTATTTAATATTATCTACTATTTATTAATATTTATTCTGGGTTAATTTATTCTGGGTTAATATTTATTAATATTTGTTATTTAATATTATCTACTACTTATTAATATTTATTCTGGGTTAATTTATTCTGGGTTAATATTTATTAATATTTATTATTTAATATTATCTACTACTTATTAATATTTATTCTGGGTTAATATTTATTAATATTTATTATTTAATATTATCTACTATTTATTAATATTTATTCTGGGTTAATATTTATTAATATTTATTATTTAATATTATCTACTATTTATTAATATTTATTATCTACTATTTATTAATATTTATTCTGGGTTAATATTTATTAATATTTGTTATTTAATATTATCTACTACTTATTAATATTTATTCTGGGTTAATATTTATTAATATTTATTATTTAATATTATCTACTATTTATTAATATTTATTCTGGGTTAATATTTATTAATATTTATTATTTAATATTATCTACTATTTATTAATATTTATTCTGGGTTAATATTTATTAATATTTGTTATTTAATATTATCTACTACTTATTAATATTTATTCTGGGTTAATATTTATTAATATTTATTATTTAATATTATCTACTATTTATTAATATTTATTCTGGGTTAATATTTATTAATATTTATTATTTAATATTATCTACTACTTATTAATATTTATTCTGGGTTAATATTTATTAATATTTATTATTTAATATTATCTACTACTTATTAATATTTATTCTGGGTTAATATTTATTAATATTTGTTATTTAATATTATCTACTACTTATTAATATTTATTCTGGGTTAATATTTATTAATATTTGTTATTTAATATTATCTACTATTTATTAATATTTATTCTGGGTTCATTTATTCTGGGTTAATATTTATTAATATTTGTTATTTAATATTATCTACTATTTATTAATATTTATTCTGGGTTAATATTTATTAATATTTATTATTTAATATTATCTACTACTTATTAATATTTATTCTGGGTTAATATTTATTAATATTTGTTATTTAATATTATCTACTACTTACTAATATTTATTCTGTGTTAATATTTATTAATATTTGTTATTTAATATTATCTACTACTTATTAATATTTATTCTGGGTTAATATTTATTAATATTTATTATTTAATATTATCTACGATTTATTAATATTTATTCTGGGTTCATTTATTCTGGGTTAATATTCATTAATATTTGTTATTTAATATTGTCTACTATTTATTAATATTTATTCTGGGTTAATATTTATTAATATTTATTATTTAATATTATCTACTTATTAATATTTATTCTGGGTTCATTTATTCTTGGTTAATATTCATTAATATTTGTTATTTAATATTGTCTACTATTTATTAATATTTATTATTTAATATTTATTATTTAATATTTATTAAATAATAAATATTAATCAATATTAAACTAAATGAACCTAGAATATTTTGGGCTTAAATATTAATAAATCATATTTATTAAATAATAAATATTATTTATTAATATCTAAGCCCAAAATATACTGGGTTTACTTTGTGTAATATTTATTTAATATTGTCTACTATTTATTAATTTTTATTATTTAATATTTATTAAATAATAAATATTAATAAATATTAAACACAATGAACCCAGAATATCTTGTGATTTAATATTAATATTTAAGCCTAATATTAATATTTAAGACCAAGATATTCTGGGTCCATTTTGATTACTATTTATTAATATTTATTATTTAATATTGTCTACTATTTATTAATATTTATTATTTAATATTTATTAAATAATAAATATTAAACAAAATGAATCCAGAATATCTTGGGCTTAAATATTAATAAATAATATTTATTTAAATAATAAATATTATTTATTAATGTTTAAGCCCAAGATAATCCGGGTTCATTTTGTTTAATATTTATTAATATTTATTATTAAATATGTATTAAATAATAAATATATAAATATTAAACAAAATGAATATTAAACAAAATGAATATTTATTATTTAATATTATTTATTATTTAATATTTATTAATAAATATGAATAAATATTAAACTAAATGAACCCAGAATATCTTGGGCTTAAACATTAGTAAATAATATTTATTTAAATAATAAATATTACTTATTAATATTTAGGAACAAGATATTCTGGGTGCATTTTGTTTCATATTTATTAATATTTATTATTTAATATTGTGTACTATTTATTAATTTTTATTATTTAATATTTATTAATATTAATCAGTATTAAACAAAATGAACCCAGAATATCTTGAGCTTAAAAATTAATAAATAATATTTATTTAAATAATAAATAATTATTTATTAATATCTAAGCCAGAGATATTCTGGGTTTATTTTGTTTAATATTTATTCATATTTATTATTTAATATTGTCTACTATTTATTAATTTTATTATTTAATATTAATAAATATTAAACAAAATGAACCCAGAATATCTTGGACTTAAATATTAATAAATAATATTTATTTAAATAATAAATAATTATTTATTAATATCTGAGCCCAAGATATTCTGGGTTCATTTTGTTTCATATTTATTAATATTTATTATTTAATATTTATTAAATAATCAATATTAATCAATATTTAATCTGCCTGCGTTTGGGTCAGTTCGTGCCCAGCTTGCTTTGGACCAAGTTTTCTTGTGCTTCTGATTTAGGATGGGAACGGAAACCAGCTGAATCAGAAAGGACCTCAAGAGGTGAGAAATGCTCAACGAGGAAAAGCAAATTAAATAATATTTATTTATTTATTTATTGACAGCATTCTTTTGCATGCTGCTGGAAGGTTTTATGGTATCTTAAATTAGTTAAATTAGCCTCCCCGCATAAAGTGGTACCTAAATTTCCTACTTGACAGATGCAACTGTTCTTTGGGTTGCATAGGTCAACAGCAAGCTAGACTATTAATGGTTGGGAGCTCACTCCGACCCGGGCTGGTTTCGAACTCACGACCTCTCGGTTAGTTAAATTAGCCTCCCCGCATAAAGTGGTACCTAAATTTCCTACTTGACAGATGCCGCTGTCTTTCGAGCTGCATAGGTCAACAGCAAGCTAGACTATAAATGGTTGGAAGCTCACTCCGACCCGGGCTGGTTTCGAACTCATGACCTCTCGGATAGTTAAATTAACCTCCCACATAAAGTGGTACCTAAATTTCCTACTTGACAGATGCAACTGTCTTTGGAGTTGCATAGGTCAACAAGCTAGACTATTAATGGTCAGGAGCTCACTCCGACCTGGGCTGACCTCTCGGTTAGTTAAATTAGCCTCCCTGCATAAAGTGGTACCTAAATTTCCTTCTTGACAGATGCAACTGTCTTTTGGGTTGCATAGGTCAACAGCAAGCTAGACTATTAATGGTTGGGAGCTCACTCCGACCTGGGCTGTTTTCGAACTCATGACCTCTCGGATAGTTGAATTAGCCTCCCCGCATTTCCTACTTCCTACTTGACAGATGCAACTGTCTTTGGGGTTGCATAGGTCAACACCAAGCTAGACTATTAATGGTCGGGAGCTCACTCCGACCTGGGCTGACCTCTCGGTTAGTTAAATTAGCCTCCCTGCATAAAGTGGTACCTATATTTCCTTCTTGACAGATGCAACTGTCTTTTGGGTTGCATAGGTCAACAGCAAGCTAGACTATTAATGGTCAGGAGCTCACTCCGAACCGGGCTGGTTTCGAACTCATGACCTCTCAGATAGTTAAATTAACCTCCCACATAAAGTGGTACCTAAATTTCCTACTTGACAGATGCAACTGTCTTTGGGGGTTGCATAGGTCAACAACAAGCTAAACTATTAATGGTCGGGAGCTCACTCCGACCTGGGCTGACCTCTCGGTTAGTTCAATTAGCCTCCCTGCATAAAGTGGTACCTAAATTTCCTACTTGACAGATGCAACTGTCTTTGGGGTTGCATAGGTCAACAGCAAGCTAGACTATTAATGGTCGATGAAGCAGCCAGATGGTGAATTATAGTTTTCTTCTCTTCCGCAGGAAGTGTTGCAGCGGCTCCGAACTCTCTATTCTCTTTTGCACGGACTTCAGGTCAGTTTGGGTTGAAATGTATTGGGTGCATCCTTGCACAACGTTGGAAAAGAAGTACGACTTACAACAGGCCCTCCCCATGTGAACATTTGCCTTGGAGGATGGTGGACTCGTCTTCCTCGGAAGTCAATTAAACCGGGGTTGGATGTCCATCTTCCAAGACATTATTTGGTCTTTCTTCAATGTGTAGCGTGACTTAACTTGGAAAGGATTTGTAACAGAGACCGGGCTTTATAAGAAAATGTAACAAGTTTATTGAAATGTATCAGAAGCTTGATGGTTTCAATGTTTCTTGACTCTTAGAGGCACATATCTTCAGATGTTACATTTATAACATTCCTTAAAACAACTCTTCCTTCCACTAAGCAGGTTTCAAACTATTTTTCTTCAAACTGTGTTTCTTTCCTTAATAGATTTCTTCAGATACAAGCTTATGACAGAATGGGGTTGGGCTCAATGACCTCAGGAGTCTATTCCAATGCCATAATTCTTGCCCTTTGGTATCCTGTTTGTTTTTGGATGCTCCGCTTTATTCTTAGGGTAGTTTTCATCCTTGGAAACCTTCAGAAATTGGATGTACATCTCTTGGGTGCTCTTTAATTGTGTCTTCCTGTATGACAGAACGGGGTTGGACTCAATGACCTCTGGAGTCTATTCCAACACCATAATTCTTGTGTATCCTGTTTGTTTTTGGATGCTCTGCTTTATTCTTAGGGTAGTTTTCAGCCTTGGAAGCCATCAGAGATTGGATGTACATCTCTTGGGTGCGCTTTAATTGTGTCTTCCTGTATGACAGAAGGGGATTGGACTCAATGACCTCAGGAGTCTATTCCAATGCCATAAATATTGCCCTTTTGTATCCTGTTTGTTTTTGGATGCTCCGCTTTATTCTTAGGGTAGTTTTCATCCTTGGAAGCCTTCAGAAATTGGATGTACATCTCTTGGGTGCGCTTTGTGTCTTCCTGTATGACAGAATGGGGTTGGGCTCAATGACCTCTGGAGTATATTCCAATGTCATAATCCTTGCCCTTTTGTATCCTGTTTGTTTTTGGATGCTCCGCTTTATTCTTAGCGTAGTTTTGTCCTTGGAAGCCTTCAGAGATTGGATGTACATCTCTTGGGAGCGCTTTAATTGTGTCTTCCTGTATGACAGAATGGGGTTGGGTTCAATGACCTCTGGATTTTTTAACAGAGACCGGGCTTTATAAGAAAATATAACAAGTTTATTGAAATGTAGCAGAAGCTTTATGGTTTCAATGTTTCTTTACTCTTAGAGGCACATATCTTCAGATGTTACATTTATAACATTCCTTAAAACAACTCTGGAAAGGACTCTTCCTTCCAATTCTTGCTTTGTCTCCCCTCCAGGGTGTCGTAGCCCACCAGGATACCCTTTTAGAAATGCAGTGCCAAGAGGCCAGCGAACGGCGCGAACGGCTGAACCGGACCAACTCTCGCAAGGAGGGCTCTTCATCCGCTTCCTCGCAAGCCACGGACCTTTCGCTGCTGCAGAAGCAGCACACCCTCCTGCAGGAGGAGCTGAGCCGGTGCCGGCAGCTGTGCCAAGAGAAGACCCAAGAAGTGGCGGCGTTGGAGGCCCGGCTGCGGGAGAGTGAGGCGGAGAGGCTTCGGCAAGAGCGGGAGGCCGAAGAGGCGCGGCAGAAATTGGCCTCCCTCCGGCAACCCCTTGAGGCGATGGCATGGTTTTGGAAGGGCGGCGAGCCCCGGAGGCGTAGTCTGCCCGCTGGCGATGCTCTGTACCAAAGCTTCACCCCACCGCCGGTAAGGAACCTCTCCAGGGAGCAGACGAGATTTTGGAAAATCTCCATAACCTTTGGGAGATTTTATGATCTTTGGAAAGGCAATCGTGCAAGGCAATTAGGTTTCTCAACTGTTAAACTGATGTACCTAGGTGTGTTTTTGAACTATCAGGCACATAGATATGCCAGTTCACAAACATACAGTGGTCCCTCACTTATCGCGGGTGTTACGTTCCTCGAAATTCCGCGATGTAGGGATGCCCCCACATCTTCCCTCCTCGTCCTCCTTACCTTCCTCTTCCTCCTCCTCGCGCAAGGAGGAGGAAGCACAAGGTAACCAGTAGGCATGGTTAGGTACCGTTGGAATCTTCGTAATTCGGAATAAATTCGGAAAAATTGCCTTTTTGAAGCGATTTTGAAGTTTTTAAGGAAACCGGAAGTCCCTTTTACCTTCCTTAAGCTTTTTCTAAAATGGAGTCTGAGTCCTGAACAAGCCCAGATCTGACTACATGGTCTACAACCCCTCTCACAACCAAGAGTTAGTAGAATTGTATACCAATACGCACATTTACTATACAATAACCTGAACTTTCTAAGCATACTGTTCCTACTGAAGTCTGAAGCAAACTGTCACTAAAATGGAGTCTGAGTCCTGAACAAGCCCAGATCTGACTACATGGTCTGCAACCCCTCTCACAACCAAGAGTTAAGGTAGAATTGTATGCCAATAAGCACATATACTATACAATAACCTGGACTTTCTAAGCATACTGTTCCTACTGAAGTCTGAAGCAAACTGTTTCTAAAATGGAGTCTGAGTACTGAACAAGCCCAGATCTGACTACATGGTCTGCAACCCCTCTCACATCCAAGAGTTAAGGTAGAATTGTATACCAATACGCACATATACTATACAATAACCTGGACTTTCTAAGCATACTGTTCCTACTGAAGTCTGAAGCAAACTGTCTCTAAAATGGAGTCTGAGTCCTGAACAAGCCCAGATCTGACCACATGGTCTGCAGCCCRTCTCACAAKKAAGAGTTAAGGTAGAATTGTATACCAATASYCACATATACWATACAATAACCTGGACTTTCTAAGCATACTGTTCCTACTYAAGTCTGAAGGAAACTGTTTCTAAAATGGAGTCTGAGTCCTGAACAAGCCCAGATCTGACCACATGGTCTGCAYCCCCTCTCACAWKCAAGAGTTAAGGMAYAATTGTATACCAATAMGCACATATACWATACAATAACRTMSACWTTRTAAGCATACTGTTCCTACTGAAGTCTGAAGSAAACTGTTTCTAAAATGGAGTCTMAGTCCTGAACAAGCCCAGATCTGACCACATGGTCTGCAACCCCTCTCACAAACAAGAGTTAAGGTAGAATTGTATACCAATATGTACACTTACAATACAATAACTTTGACATTTTAAGCATACAGTTCCTACTGAAGTCTGAAGCAAACTGTTTCTAAAATGGAGTCTGAGTACTGAACAAGCCCAGATCTGACTACATGGTCTGCAGCCCCTCTCACAACCAAGAGTTATGGTAGAATTGTATACCAATACACACATATACAATACAATAACTTGGACTTTCTAAGCATATTGTTCCTACTGAAGTCTGAAGCAAACTGTTTCTAAAATTGAGTCTGAGTCCTGAACAAGCCTAGATCTGACCGCATGGTTCTGCAGCCCCTCTCACAACCAAGAGTTCAGGTAAAATTGTATACCAATACGGACATATACAATACAATAACCTGGACTTTCTAAGTATACGGATCCTACTGAAGTCTGAAGCAAACTGTCTCTAAAATGGAGTCTGAGTCCCAAACAAGCCCAGATCTGACTACATGGTCTGCAGCCCCTCTCACAAATTGCTTTGTTTCCAACCACAGGCCCGATCCGGCGATGTCCTCTCCCCTGGTTGCCACTCTGTGCATCGGACCTTTGCCGCCTGCCAGCGCGATGAAGCGGCGTACCACGGGGTGCCCCTCCGGCTGCAGGAGGGCGACCCGGAGCTGGGGGCGGTTTCGGAGGAAGAGGGCCTGATCCACCCCCAGTCACCCCCTCCCAGCCCACGAGGTGGGTCACAATGCCTCTCCCTTTGTGTGTGTTCAGTGCTCATCTGACACAATATGGGAATTTAAAGATAGGTGTAATAATAATAATAATAATAATAATAATAATAATAATAATATAATATATAATATAATAATAATAATAATATATAATAATAATATATAATAATATATAATAATAATAATAATAATATAATATATAATAATATAATAATAATAATAATAATAATAAAATATATAATAATAATATAATAATAATAATATATAATAATATATAATAATAATAATAATAATAATATATAATAATAATAATAATAATAATAATAATAATAATAATAATATATGCAACCATAACTATATATTAGATTGCAGTTTCTCAAGTCGCTCCGGACATGACAAAAAAATAAATAAAAATTAGATGCTATAAATGCAATAATAATAATAATAATATACTAGATCCTATAGATGCCATAATAATCATAACTACAACAATATAGTAGGTGTAATAATAATATAGACAACAATAACAATACATTAGATTCTATAAATGCAATGAAAATAATAATAATGATAATAATAATAAGGCATTTGATTCATTTCCACATTGTTGGATCATCAAATGTCTAGATGTCATCGGGGTTTGTAAAAATATTAGAACAAGCCAGTCAAGGTAGTCCTTGTTTGCTGTGGACTCATCTTGTTGTGTTAATAATAATAATAATAATAATAATAATAATAATAATAATAAAGCATTTGACTCGCTTCCACATTGTTGGATCATCAAATGTCTAGATGTCATCGGGATTTGTGAAAATATTAGAACAAGCCAGTCAAGGGGGTCCCAGTGGTGACCTTGTTTGCTGTGGACTCATCTTGTTGTGTTTCAAATAATAATAACAACAACAACAACAACAACAATAATAATAATAATAATAATAAAGCATTTGACTCACTTCCACATTGTTGGATCATCAAACAAGCCAGTCAAGGTGGTCCTAGTGGTGACCTTGTTTGCTGTGGACTCATCTTGTTGTGTTTCATATAATAATAATAATAATAATAATAATAAGAAGGCATTAGGCTCACTTCCACATTGTTGGATCATCAAATGTCTAGATGTCATTGGGGTTTGTGAAAATATTAGAACAAGCCAGTCAAGCTAGTCCTTGTTTGCTGTGGACTCATCTTGTTGTGTTTCTAATAATAATAATAATAATAATAATAATAATAATAATAATAATAATAAGGCATTAGGCTCACTTCCACATTGTTGGATCATCAAATGTCTAGATGTCATTGGGGTTTGTGAAAATATTAGAACAAGCCAGTCAAGGGGGTCCCAACGATGTCCTTGTTTGCTGTGGACTCATCTTGTTGTGTTTTATAATAATAATAATAATAATAATAATAATAATAATAATAATAATAAGGCATTAGGCTCACTTCCCCATTGTTGGATCATCAAATGTCTAGATGTCATCGGGGTTTGTGAAAATATTAGAACAAGCCAGTCAAGATAGTCCTTGTTTGCTGTGGACTCATCTTGTTGTGTTTCTAATAATAATAATAATAATAATAATAATAATAATAATAATAATAAGACGTTTGGCTCACTTCCATATTGTTGGATCATCAAATGTCTACATGTCATCGGCGTTTGTGAAAATATTAGAACAAGCCAGTCAAGGTAGTCCCAGTGGTGACCTTGTTTGCTGTGGACTCATCTTGTTGTGATAATAATAATAATAATAATAATAATAATAATAATAATAATAATAATACGTTTGGCTCACTTCCATATTGTTGGATCATCAAATGTCTACATGTCATCGGCGTTTGTGAAAATATTAGAACAAGCCAGTCAAGGGGGTCTCAGTGGTGACCTTGTTTGCTGTGGACTCATCTTGTTGTGTTTCAAATAATAATAATAATAATAATAATAATGATGATGATGATGATGCATTTGGCTCAATTCCACATTGTTGGATCATCAAATGTCTAGATGTCACTGGGGTTTGTGAAAATATTAGAACAAGCCAGTCAAGGTGGTCCCAGTGGTGACCTTGTTTGCTGTGGACTCGTTGTGTTAATAATAGTAATAATAATAATAATAATAATAATAATAATAATAATAATAATAATTGCTTCCCCCCCCCCCCCCCCAGATTTTCTGGCATTGTAGACATTCCAGAGGAATCCGAAAATGCCCCCGAGCCCAACGTCGGTGACAGCAATTCTTTGGACAGCTAGAGGACACCCACCCCAAAAACGTTGGAAAGGGATGGGATTTGTAGTCCAACCTGAACTCATATTGGGAGACGAAGACAACACACACCAAACTAATGTTGGGGGGGGGGGGTTTCAGGGGGTGGGTGAAGGGGAAAGATTCGAATTTGGGACCAACGCTTTTGTTGTTGGATCGCCCTGATTTTAACCCTGCAAAATACACACTGAAATCCAATATTAAATTGCAGGAAATATTTGGATTTTCCTCCTTGTTTTGTTTTGTTTTGCAATGGAAACGGCCCTCGCTACGGACGATAGGACTTGTCGTTCAACCCTTCCGGCTTGTGAACGATGGGACTTAGAGTCTGCTCCCTTTGAATAGCTTCACGGCCTCGTATCCGCTCCGGGTTTTAGTCCGAACTGTAACAAAGGCGTTCGGGGATGGAGAAAGCAGCCTTTTGGAGTTATTTTTTAAATATAAAGTTGGGATTTAAAGTTTTTCTAAGGTTAATAATAGTAATAATACAAAAATGAATTTTGCGTGCCCGCCCGTGTTTCGTTCCAGAAGAGAAAGGACTTGTTTTGTTTTTAAATTAACGCACCAAGACGAAGATTTTTTTTAATTACCTATATATATATATATATATTTGAAGAGGACAAGTTGTCTTATTTGTTTCCTGTTGGTCTAATTTGTAAAAAAAAAAAGGAAGGAGGGGAAAAGAAGAAGTTAAATAAAGTTATGGACGAAAAATACAAAAGCAAGGATGTGTCTGTTTAAATCTATTTATTTACTAGCTGTATCCGTCATGCGTTGCTGTGGCCGACCTTCCCTCCTTTTCTCTCTCCTTCTTTCCCTCTTTCCTCCACTCCCTCTTTCCTTCCCTTCTTTCCTTCTCTCCTTCCTTCCTTCTCTACCTCTTTCCTTCCTTCCCCTCTTTTTCTTTTCCTTCCTCTTTCTCTCCTTTCTTCCATCTCTACCTCTTTCCTTCCTTCCTTCACTCTTTGCTTCCATCCTTCCTTCTCTCTTTCCTTCGCTCCCTCTTTCTCTCCTTTCCCTCCTCCTTCAATCCCTCTTTCCTTCCCTTTTTCTTTCATTCTCTCCTTCCTTCCTTCTCTACCTCTTTCCTTTCTTCCTTCGCTTTTTTGCTTCCATCCTTCCTTCTCTCTTTCCTTCCCTCCCTCTTTCTCTCTTTTCAATCTTCCTTCGATCCCTCTTTCCTTCCTTCCCTTTTTTCTTTCATTCTCTCTTTCCTTCCTTCCTTCCTTTTTTGCTTCCATCCTTCCTTTTTTGCCTCCATCCTTCCTTCTCTCTTTCCTTCCCTCCCTCTTTCTCTCCTTTCCCTCCTCCTTTGATCCCTCTTTCCTCCCCTTTTTTCTTTCATTCTCTCCTTCCTTTCTTCTTTACCCCTTTCCTTCCTTCCCCTTTTTCTTTTCCTTCCTCTTTCTCTCCTTCCTTCCTTCTCTACCTCTTTCCTTCCTTCGTTTTTTGCTTCCATCCTTCCTTCTCTCTTTCCTTCCCTCCCTCTTTTTCTCCTTTCCCTCCTCCTTCGATCCCTCTTCCCTTTCTTCCCTTTTTTCTTTCATTCTCTCCTTCCTTCCTTCTCTACCTCTTTCCTTCCTTCCTTCGCTTTTTTGCTTCCATCCTTTTTTCTTTACTTCCCTCCCTCTTTCTCTCCTTTCCCTCCTCCTTCGCTCCCTCTTTCCTTCCCTTTTTCCTTTCCTTCTCTCCTTCCTTCTCTACCTCTTTTCTTCCTTCCTTCGCTCTTTGCTTACATCCTTCCTTCTCTCTTTCCTTCCCTCCCTCTTTCTCTCCTTTTTTCCTTCTCTACCTATTCCTTCCTTCCTTCACTTTTTGCTTCTGTCCTTCCTTCTCTTTCCTTCTCTTCCTTTCTCTCCTTCTCTCCTTCCTTCCTTCTCTACCTCTTTCCTTCCTTCCTTCGCTCTTTGCTTCCATCCTTCCTTCTCTCTTTCCTTCCCTCCCTCTTTCTCTCCTTTTTTCCTTCTCTACCTATTCCTTCCTTCCTTCACTTTTTGCTTCTGTCCTTCCTTCTCTTTCCTTCTCTTCCTTTCTCTCCTTCTCTCCTTCCTTCCTTCTCTACCTCTTTTCTTCCTTCCTTCGCTCTTTGCTTCCATCCTTCCTTCTCTCTTTCCTTCCCTCCCTCTTTCTCTCCTTTTTTCCTTCTCTACCTATTCCTTCCTTCCTTCACTTTTTGCTTCTGTCCTTCTCTTTCCTTCTCTTCCTTTCTCTCCTTCTCTCCTTCCTTCCTTCTCTACCTCTTTCCTTCCTTCCTTTGCTTTTTGCTTCCATCCTTCCTTCTCTCCTTCCCTCCCTCTTTCTCTCCTTCTTTCCCTCCTTCCTTCGCTACCTCTTTCCTTCCTTCCCGCCTTTTTCTCTTCCACTTTCTCTCCTTCCTTCCTTCTCTACCTCTTTCCTTCCTTCCCCCTTTTTCTTTTCCTTCCTCTTTCCTCTCTTCCTTCTCTACCTCTTTCCTTCCTTCCTTCGCTTTTTGCTTCCCCCGTTTCCTTCTCTCTTTCCTTCTTTCCTTCCCTCCCTCTTTCTCTCCTTCTTCCCCTCCTTCCTTCATTCCCTCTTTCCTTCCTTCTTTTTTCTTTCCTTCTCTCCTCCCTTCTCTACCTCTTTCCTTCCTTCCCCCTTTTTCTTTATTTTCTTCTCTCTCTCCTTCTTTACCCCTTTCCTCCCTTCCCACCTTTTTCTTTTCCTCCCTCTTTCTCTTCTTCCTTCCTTCTCTACCTCTTTCCTTCCTTCCTTCGCTTTTTGCTTCCATCCTTCCTTCTCTCTTTCCTTCTTTCCTTCCCTCCCTTTTTTTCTTTCCTTCTCTCCTTCCTTCCTTCTCTCTCTTCTTTCCTTCCTCCCCTTTTTCTTTTCCTCCTCTTTCTCTTCCTTCTCTACCTTTCCTTCTCTCCTTCCTTTTCTTTTCCCCCTTCTCTCTTTCTCTCCTTCTTCCCCTCCTTCCTTCATTCCCTCTTTCCTTCCTTCCCTTTTTTCTTTCCTTCTCTCCTCCCTTCTCTACCTCTTTCCTTCCTTCCCCCTTTTTCTTTATCTTCTTCTCTCTGTCCTTCTTTACCCCTTTCCTTCCTTCCCACCTTTTTCTTTTCCTCCCTCTTTCTCTCCTTTCTTCCTTCTCTGCCTCTTTCCTTCCTTCCCCCTTTTATTTCCTTCCTCTTTCTCTTCTTTCTTCTCTACCTTTTTCCTTCCTTCCTTCGCTTTTTGCTTCTGTCCTTCCTTCTCTTTCCCTCTCTCCCTTTCTCTCCTTCTCTCCTTCCTTCCTTCTCTACCTCATTCCTTCCTTCCCTCTTTTCTTCCTTCTTTCCCTCCTTCCTTCGCTCCCCCTTTCCTTCCTTCCCTTTTCTTCTTTCCTTCTCTCTTTCCTTCCTTCTTTCCTTCACTTTTTGCTTCCATCATTCCTTCTCTCCTTCCCTCCCTCTCTCTCTCCTTCTTTCCCTCCTTCCTTCGCTTTCTCTTTCCTTCCTTCCCCTTTATTCTTTCCTTCTCTCCTTCCTTCCTTCTCTGCCTCTTTCCTTCCTCTTTTTCTTTTCCTTCCTCTTCCTCTCCTTTCTTCCTTCTCTACCTTTTTCCTTCCTTCCTTCGCTCTTTACTTCCATCCTTCTCTTTCCTTCCCTCCCTTTCTCTCCTTCTTTCCCTCCTTCCTTCTCTACCTTTTCCTTCCTTCCTTTTCTTTTTTGCTTCCACCCTTCCTTCTCTTTCCTTTCCTCCCTCTTTCTCTCCTTTCCCTCCTCATTCGCTCCCTCTTTCCTTCCCTCCCTTTTTTCTTTCCTTCTCTCCTTCCTTCTCTACCTCTTTCCTTCCTTCCTTCGCTTTTTGCTTCCATCCTTCTCTCCTTCGCTCCCTCTTTCCTTCCTTCCATCCTTCCCTTCTCTTCTTTCCTTCTTCCTTCCTTCCCTGCCTCTTTCCTTCCTTCCCCTTTTTCTCTCCTTTCTTCCTTCTCTATTTTTTCCTTCCTTTCTTCACTCTTTGCTTCCACCCTTCCTTCTTTTTCCTTCCCTCCCTTTTCCTCCTTCTTTCCCTCCTTCCTTCACTCTGTTTCCTTCCTTCTCTTCTTTCTTTCTCTCTTTCCTTCCTTCCTTCGCTCTCTGCTTCTTTCTTTCCCTCCCTCCCTCCCTTCCTCCTTCTCCCTCCTTTTCTCTCTTTGTCTTTCTCTTTCTTTCTCCCCTTCCTTCCCTGGATGGCCTTAAGTATGCGGGTTCTGTGTGGGAAGTTTGCCCCAATTCTGTCGTTGGTGGGGTTCAGCATGCTCTTTGATTGTAGATGAACTATAAATCCCAGCAAGTACAACTCCCAAATGCCAAGGTCTATTTCCCCCAAACTCCACCAGTGTTCACATTTGGGTATACTAAGTATTTGTGCCAACTTTGGTCCAGATCCATCATTGTTTGAGTTTCGGAGATAGGTGAACTACATCTCCCAAACTCAAGGTCAATTCCTACCAAACCCTTCCAGTACTTTCTCTTGGTCATGGGAGTCCTGTGTGCCACGTTTTGTTCAATTCCGTCGTTGATGCGGTTCAAGATTCTCATTGATTGTAGGTGAACTATATATCCCAGAAACTCCCAAATGCCAAGGTCTATTTCCCCCAAACTCCACCAGTCTTCACATTTGGGCATATGGAGTATCCGTGCCAAGTTTGGTCCAGATCCATCATTGTTTGTGCTCTCTGGGTGTAGGTGAATTGCAACTCCCAAACTACAACTCCCAAATTCAAGGTCAATGCCCACCAAACCCTTTCAGCATTTTCTATTTGTCATGGGTGTTCTGTGCGGAAAGTGTGGCCCAATTCCATCGTTGGAACTCAGAATGCTCTTTGATTGTAGGTGAACTATATATCCCAGAAACTACAACTCCCAAATGCCAAGGTCTATTTCCCCCAAACTCCACCAGTGTTCACATTTGGGCATATGGAGTAATTGTGCCAAGTTTGGTCCAGATCCATCGTGGTTTCAGTTTCTGGAGGTAGGTGAACTACAACTCCCAAACTCAAGGGCAATGCCCACCAAACCCTTCCAGTGTTTTCTCTTGGTCGTGGGAGTTCTGTGTGCCAAGTTTGGTTCAATTCCATCATTGGTGGAGTTCAGAATGCTCTTTGATTGTAGGTGAACTATAAATCCCAGCAACTCCAACTGGAGTTCAGAATGCTCTTTGATTGTAGGTGAACTATAAATCCCAGCAACTCCAACTGGAGTTCGGAATGCTCTTTGACTGTAGGTGAACTATACATCCCAGCAACTCCAACTGGAGTTCAGAATGCTCTTTGATTATAGGTGAACTATACATCCCAGCAACTCCAACTGGAGTTCAGAATGCTCTTTGATTGTAGGTGAACTATACATCCCAGCAACTCCAACTGGAGTTCGGAATGCTCTTTGATTGTAGGTGAACTATAAATCCCAGCAACTCCAACTGGAGTTCAGAATGCTCTTTGATTGTAGGTGAACTATACATCCCAGCAACTCCAACTGGAGTTCGGAATGCTCTTTGATTGTAGGTGAACTATACATCCCAGCAACTCCAACTGGAGTTCAGAATGCTCTTTGATTGTAGGTGAACTATAAATCCCAGCAACTCCAACTGGAGTTCAGAATGCTCTTTGATTGTAGGTGAACTATAAATCCCAGCAACTCCAACTGGAGTTCAGAATGCTCTTTGATTGTAGGTGAACTATACATCCCAGCAACTCCAACTGGAGTTCAGAATGCTCTTTGATTGTAGGTGAACTATAAATCCCAGCAACTCCAACTGGAGTTCAGAATGCTCTTTGATTGTAGGTGAACTATAAATCCCAGCAACTCCAACTGGAGTTCGGAATGCTCTTTGATTGTAGGTGAACTATACATCCCAGCAACTCCAACTGGAGTTCAGAATGCTCTTTGATTGTAGGTGAACTATACATCCCAGCAACTCCAACTGGAGTTCAGAATGCTCTTTGATTGTAGGTGAACTATACATCCCAGCAACTCCAACTGGAGTTCGGAATGCTCTTTGATTGTAGGTGAACTATACATCCCAGCAACTCCAACTGGAGTTCAGAATGCTCTTTGATTGTAGGTGAACTATAAATCCCAGCAACTCCAACTGGAGTTCAGAATGCTCTTTGATTGTAGGTGAACTATACATCCCAGCAACTCCAACTGGAGTTCGGAATGCTCTTTGATTGTAGGTGAACTATAAATCCCAGCAACTCCAACTGGAGTTCAGAATGCTCTTTGATTGTAGGTGAACTATACATCCCAGCAACTCCAACTGGAGTTCGGAATGCTCTTTGATTGTAGGTGAACTATACATCCCAGCAACTCCAACTGGAGTTCGGAATGCTCTTTGATTGTAGGTGAACTATACATCCCAGCAACTCCAACTGGAGTTCAGAATGCTCTTTGATTGTAGGTGAACTATACATCCCAGCAACTCCAACTGGAGTTCAGAATGCTCTTTGATTGTAGGTGAACTATAAATCCCAGCAACTCCAACTGGAGTTCAGAATGCTCTTTGATTGTAGGTGAACTATACATCCCAGCAACTCCAACTGGAGTTCAGAATGCTCTTTGATTGTAGGTGAACTATAAATCCCAGCAACTCCAACTGGAGTTCAGAATGCTCTTTGATTGTAGGTGAACTATAAATCCCAGCAACTCCAACTGGAGTTCGGAATGCTCTTTGATTGTAGGTGAACTATACATCCCAGCAACTCCAACTGGAGTTCAGAATGCTCTTTGATTGTAGGTGAACTATAAATCCCAGCAACTCCAACTGGAGTTCAGAATGCTCTTTGATTGTAGGTGAACTATACATCCCAGCAACTCCAACTGGAGTTCAGAATGCTCTTTGATTGTAGGTGAACTATACATCCCAGCAACTCCAACTGGAGTTCGGAATGCTCTTTGATTGTAGGTGAACTATAAATCCCAGCAACTCCAACTGGAGTTCAGAATGCTCTTTGATTGTAGGTGAACTATACATCCCAGCAACTACAACTCCCGAGTGACAAAATCATAATTTTTTGAGTGATGGTCACTCCTTGGGTTTGTAGGCGTCTTGTGTCCAAACTTGGTGCCAATTCCTCCAGTGGTTTTTGAGTTATGTCCTGATATGGAACTACAACCCCGAAGACTCCATTTCCCAGGAGGCTCAGCAGCAGTGAGCGGAAGTGACGTTTCCAGAAAGGGGGCGGGCTTCTGGTGAGCCTTCTAGTGCTGACGTCCTTTTCCGTTCTGCTGGCAACCGAAGGAAGCAGAAGGTAGGCAAGAGGGTGGCTTTGGGGTCTCTCTCTTTTGGGGACCAGGCCATCCATGGGAATGGGCAGAGCTTGCATTCAGTTCCTCTCTTGGACTACAAGTCCCATAATCCCCCCCAGCTGGACTACAAGTCCCATTGTATTCCCCTAGGTGGGGATGGGGAACTGGGAGAGCCAGAGATTGCAAAAATAGTTACTTTTTGGCACCCAAAGCTTGCAAAAATAGTTACTTTTTGGCAGTACAGCTCCCTGGACTACAATTCCCATAATCCCCAGCTGGACTACAAGTCCCATTGTATCCCCCTAGGTGGGGATGGGGAACTGGGAGAGCCAGGGCTTGCAAAAAAGTAACTTTTTGGCACCCAGAGCTTGTAAAAGAAGTTCCTATGTGGCACTACAACTCCCTGGACTACAACTCCCAGCTGGACTACAAGTCCCATTGTATCCCCCTAGGTGGGGATGGGGAACTGGGAGAGCCAGAGCTTGCAAAAAATAAGTTACTATTTGGCGACACCCAGAGCTTGCAAAAGAAGTTACTTTATGGCACTAAACTCTCTGGGACTACAATTTCCAGAACTCCCAGCTGGACTACAAGTCCCATTGTATTCCCCTAGGTGGGGGTGGGGTACTAGGAGAGCCAGAGCTTGCAAAAAATAAGTTACTATTTGGCGACACCCAGAGCTTGCAAAAGAAGTTCCTTTTTGGGACTAAACTCCCTGGACTACAAGTCCCAGAACTCCCAGCTAGACTACAAGTCCCATTGTATTCCCCTAGGTAGGGATGTGGAACTGGGAGAACCAGACTTTGGAAAAAAAGTTACTTTTTGGCACTACAACTTTCTGGACTACAATTCCCAGAACTCCTAGCTGGACTACAAGCCCCATTGTTTTCTCCTAGGTGGGGATGGGGAACTGGGAGAGCCAGAGCTTGCAAAAAAAAGTTACTATTTGGCAGCACCCAGCGCTTGCAAAAAAAGTTCCTTTTTGGCACTAAACTCCCTGGACTACAATTCCCAGAACTCCCAGCTGGACTACAAGTCCCATCGTATTCCCCTAGGTGGGGAAGTGGAACTAAGAGCCAGAGTTTGCCAAAATAAGTTACTATTTGGCGACAGCCAGAGCTTGCAAAAAAAGTTACTTTTGGGCACTAAACTCCCTGGACTACAATTCCCAGAACTCCCAGCTGGACTACAAGTCTCATTGTATTCCCCTAGGTGAGGATGGGAAACTGGGAGTACCAGAGCTTGCAAAAATAAGTTATTTTTTGGTGGCACCCAAAGCGTGCAAAAAAGTTATTTTTGGCACTACAACTCCCAGAACTCCCATCTTTGCAAAGTCTTTTACCATTTTCCATGTTAAACAACTAAATGCTTGTTTCTTCTCTCCTTGTGTCCAGATGAGGCTGCTTCTCGTGGCCCTTTGGGCCGTCTTGGCCGCTGTCCGCTCGGAGGAAGGCGCCCGGCTCCTGGCCTCCAAATCTCTGCTCAACCGCTACGCCGTCGAAGGGCGCGACCTGACCCTGCAGTACAACATCTACAACGTCGGATCAAGGTGGAAGTCTTCCCTTTTCAGCTTTGAAGCCAGGCTCTGAAGCTGCAAGGCCATTCAATGCTAATCAAAATGGCCAAAGCCTGGCTGCTTCCTGCCTGAGGGAATCCTATATATATTTATACCTCTGGAATGGTGTCCAGGGTGGGAGAAAGAACTCTTGTCTGCTGGAGGCAGGTGTGAATGTTGCCATTGGCCAGCTTGATTAGCGCTGAATGGCCTTGCAGCTTCAAAGCCTGGCTGCTTCCTGCCTGAGGGAATCCTATATATATATATATATATATATACATATATATATATACACACACACACACACACACACACACACACACACAAACATACATACATACGTACATACATACACCTGTGGAATGATGTCCAGGGTGGGAGAAACAACTCTTTGTCTGCTCGAGGCAAGTGTGAATGCTGCCACTGGCTACCTTGGTTGGCATTGAATAGCCTTGCAGCTTCAAAGCCTGGCTGCTTCCTGCCTGAGGGAATATATATATATATACACACACACACACACCTGTGGAATGATGTCCAGGGTGGGAAAAAGAACTCTTGTCTGCTGGATGCAAGTGTGAATGTTGCCATTGGCCATTTTGATTAGCACTGAACGGCCTTGCAGCTGCAAAGCCTGGCTGCTTCCTGCCTGAGGGAATCCTATATACACACACACACCCCATCTGTGGAATGATTTCCAGGGTGGGAGAAATAAAGAACTCTTGTCTGTTGGAGGTACGTGTGAGTATTGCAATAGGTCGTCTTGATTAGCAATGAATGGCCTTGCAGCTTCAAAGCCTCACTGCTTCCTGCCTGAGGGAATCCTATATCCTGTGCTTTGCTAATAATATAATATATTGTAATATAATATATTGTATGTACACATAATGTTTATAATATTATAATGTAATACAATATAATAATAATAATGTGATATTATAATTATGTATTTTATATTACATGCAATATTACTAATAATATTGCAATATAATGGGATAGTACAATATAGTAATATATAATGCTGATATTATACTCTGCTAATAATATAATATATTGTATGTATATATGTCTTGTAAACTGCTCTGGGTCCTCTACGGGGTGAGAAGGGCGGCATAGAAATGTCGTGTATATATATATATATATATATATATATATATATATATATATATATATCCTTATGTATGTCTCTCTGTGTCCAGTGCTGCCTTAGAAGTGGAGCTGTCGGACGACTCCTTCCCGCCGGAGGATTTCGGCATTGTCTCCGGGATGCTCAACGTTAAGTGGGATCGGATTGCGCCGTATCCTTTTCTTGGGCTCAGTGTTGACAAGGACCCCATTTGAGGCGGTACCTAAATTTCCTACTTGACAGATGCAACTGTCTTTCGGGCCGCATAGGTCGACAGCAAGCTAGACAAATGGTCGGGAGCTTACTCAGACCTGGGCTGATTTCGAGCTCATGACCTCTCGGTTAGTTAAGTTAGCCTCCCCGCATAAAGTGGTACCTAAATTTCCTACTTGACAGATGCAACTGCCTTTTGGGCTGCATAGGTCAACAGCAAGCTAGACAAATGGTCGGGAGCTTACTCCGACCCGGGCTGGTTTCGAACTCATGACCTCTCGGTTAGTTAAATTAGCCTCCCCGCATAAAGTGGTACATAAATTTCCTACTTGACAGATGCAACTGCCTTTTGGGCTGCATAGGTCAACAGCAAGCTAGACAAATGGTTGGGAGCTTACTCCGACCCGGGCTGGTTTCGAACTCATGACCTCTCGGTTAGTTAAATTAGCCTCCCCGCATAAAGTGGTACATAAATTTCCTACTTGACAGATGCAACTGTCTTTCGGATTGCATAGGTCAACAGCAAGCTAGACTATTAATGGTTGGGAGCTCACTCTGACCCGGGCTGGTTTCGAACTCATGACCTCTCGGTTAGTTAAATTAGCCTCCCCACATAAAGTGGTACCTAAATTTCCACCCAACTTCTATTTAAAGGGCTTTAAACAACAACAACAACAACAATAATAAAGTTTATTATTATTATTATAACAAATAAAGTTTATTATTATAATAATGTTAATATTAATAATAATAATAATTCCTACTTGACATATTCAACTGTCTTTCGGGCTGCATAGGTCGACAGCAAGCTAGACTAATGGCCAGAAGCTCACTCCGACCCAGGCTGGCCTCGAACTCTTGGCCAGTAGTGATTTAATACAGCTGGCTACTAACTAGCTGTGCCACAGCCCGGTCCTATGTAGTCCAACCCCAATTGAGGCCCACCCAACTTCTATTTAAAGGGCTTTAAATAATAATAATAGTAATGATAATAATAATTACTACTTGGCATATTCAACTGTCTTTCGGGCTGCATAGGTCGACAGCAAGCTAGACTAATGGCCGGAAACTCAGTATTATTATTATTATTATTATTATTATTATTAAATAATAATAATAATAATAACTGTCTTTTGGGCTGCATAGGTTGACAGCAAGCTAGACTAATGGCTGGAAGCTCACTCCAACCCAGGCTGGTTTCGAACTCTCCTTCTCCTCTGCAGTTTTCTCTCCTTGACTTCTCTTTGCCCAGGGCTAGCAACGTCTCCCACACGGTGGTCCTGCGGCCCCTCAAGGCCGGCTACTTCAACTTCACCTCGGCCACCATCACTTATCTGGCCCAAGAAGGAGGACAGGTGGTGGTAAGTGATGATGAGCACCTCAAGCTTCAGAGAACTTCTGTTCGACCATTTCAAAGCTCCCTGCTTGGGTGGTGATGGCACGATCGTCAGCATAGATGAAACTCTCGGTCCCTTCTGGCAAATGCTGATCATTTGTGTAAATGTTAAACATGAGGAACTGTGTTAAGAGACATTACGAAGGTTGAG